GGCGGCGCTGGGCGGCGGGGGGGGGGGGGGGGGGGGGGGGGGGGGGGGGCTATAAGAGGACCGGTCCCTTTTTTTACAAGGACGGTGATCAGACTGCAGTTCCGTACTTATGCCCAATAGGGGGGATAGGCGAGGAAGGAACTGCTTCGCATCATGCACCGTATGTTGGGATATAAATATACGCTTCACCACAGGATATTCACACCATACACATGAAGCGTAAATAAAGGTTAAATGAGGGCTCAACACAACCGTCTTTTGTGGAATTATGGTCGGTAACCAGCTGGAGGGGCTAGTACATGGAGGAGGAACGAACAGCACCTCGCTTAAGTCCCACTTTCGGCAGGTTTCGCTGGGACCAGTAGTCCTTCCCACTGTAACAAGCAATCCCGAGATATACTCAAAAAATATAAACTGTGATTGATACTGTGCAATTTGCGTTACCTAGTGTCACAAGATAGTGATAACCGCTTGTAATAGATGAAGGCTACTAGCCCGGATAGCTGGTGACTACCATGTAAGTCAATGCATTGGAGACAGTTACCAGAAAGTGTAACCTTGTTTATTTCGGAGTACTTGTGGTTATGTGCAGGCACACTGTACAGCAGTGTTTGCCTAGGCATGGTGCAGCTACTATCCAGTGGATCTCCCGGGGGTCCAGGATGCGGCAAGGTAGGATGGCGGATTGTTCAGCGCCCGACTACAACATCAGTAGGACGCGGCTTTGAGCCGACAGCTCGAGCGCGAGGGAGGGGGCAGAGCTATGCGGCGGCGCCACATGTCCGCAGACTCCCTCGCTGGAACGCACGGAGGCGAGTCTATTACACATGGTTTATCAGAATTATTATATCCGGTTTATTTTTCATGGTTTTAAAGCTGAACTTGTATTCACTGGACAGAAGTGTAAATGTATCTGAAATGCAGAGTAGCTGGATTCCTCTTGCTGTCAGCCTCACGTAATCCCGGGTACAGTGGCTCTTGAGAGGCAGCACTAGAAGCCAGTCAGCCTTTGATTCAGTGTGATTGGACAGTCATAAGATTTGATTCATGTCACATGACCACGGAGGTTTTTTTGCAAACAGATTGATGTCTGCTAGCGTGCAGAATGTTGTGCGTGGATGCTGCCGGCAGCATCTTTTAGGTACCCGCTGGGCCATAATTTGCAGAATCAATGTGATTACATTTTTAGTGCACTAGTTGATTAAAAATAAAGATGTAGGAAACAAAGCACCTCTTTGACCTTGCTCTTGACAATTACAGGTAGGTATTCACAGTAAAGATGATGTTTGGGGCTTTTATGATCCACAATCACTGACCAATAGAAGACTCTGAAATCAGTCCACGATGACCCTTCCAGAGGACATCTCTCCTCCTCATAGCAGACACACTGTACTCAGAGCGGAGTGGGAGGACGGATTGGAGAACTCGACAAAGCCGCCTCACCGAACACATTGGTGTAGGAGGATTTCAGGAACTGGACGTAATTTTGCATGCTGCGATTGGTGCTTTCCGACTGCTCCAGCCTGTCCTTTAGATCTTGGAGGCGACTCTGGAAACGGCGCTCTGCCTAAAATGAGGAGTCCCAAAAACGAAATGAAATGACTCTGGTGTAAGTGAACCGGAAAGCGTTACAAGCAGATTGGAGCTGGCAGGTGTCCTTTACACAGCAAACAATGACAGCAGGAAGTCAAAACCAAATACTCCAATCTGCAAACTAAAACCGCACATCAAGTCACCTGCCAGTGCTGAATCCACTGCACCATGTAAGGGACAAGATAAAAGGAGAGGCAAGTGAGGCTTCGGTTAGGGATAGCAAAGGCTAATTCACATAAGAAAAAATACTTTAAAATCCCAACTCAACTTTTATTTTAAAACAGCTAATTACATTCTAGATAAATCAAAACAAAAGGTGATCAAAGTCTTACAGTTAAAGGAGAACTATGGGGTCAGGGCTTTTCCCCATAGTTCTCCTAAGGGTAACGGGAGGACACAAACTAGTGTTCTCCTGTCACCCAAAGCGGTATACTGAGACGCTGCAGCCGGGACAATACTGTCTGTATCCGCCCAGCTGCGTGATTGACAGCTGGCTCTGCCTATCTAGAGGCAGAGCCAGCTGTACCCGCCCCCTCCCCCGTCCGTTCCGCCCGTCAGCGCTGGAGGATCGGACAGGGGAGGGGGGAATACCTGCAGGGAGCCGTGAGTGACAGTCACCGCTCTCTGCAGGGACAGGATCAAGAAGTGAGGTATTTTGTACTCTGTGGAAGCTTTCTCAAGGTGACTTAATCCTAAAAATACATTCAAGTACCTTAACTATTAAAGGAGAACTATGAGGTGAGTGCTTTTCACTCCCCTCATAGTTCTAGCCGACCTGTGACAATGAGACTGCCACAGGTCGGCTCCGTAGATCGGGAGGTGAGCGAACACATACCGGGTTCGCTCGCCTTTCGATCCTGTCACGGCTCTCTGCAGTGACAGGGGGAGGGGCTGGATTCCCCTCTCCCCGCCAGCGCTGACTGGCGGAACGGACAGGGGAGGGGGCGGGTACAGCTGTCACTCACGCAGCTGGGCGGATCCCGTCATCTAAGTCGGGATCCGCTCCGGCGTCTCAGTATACTGAGCTTAGGGTAACGGGAGGACGCTAGTTTGTGTCCTCCCGTTACCCTAAGGAGAACTATGGGGAAAAACACAGACCCCATAGTTCTTCTTTAACAATAATGTATCTTATTTGTGTATCACTCGGCTGTAGATCCTCCAATCATCTCTGAATTGGTGCCGACACTGTCCTTCCTTCTGAAGGGTGGCTACTTTTGTTCCCCATGGTCCCTGTGTGTGTTGTAAAGTAGTCACCGCTCCAAGCTCCCTCCCGGGTTGGGCTACGATCTCAATACAAATTAGTAATCTAGACACGAGATTGTAGTCAAGCTCACTCCTGTGATAGGAGTGAGCTTGAAACGGATCCATGGAGAACAAAAGTAGCCCCCCTCCAGAAGGAAGGACAGTGTCAGAGATGATTTGAGGATCTACAGCCGAGTGATACACAAATAAGATACGGTACATTTCCTGTAATAGTTGAGGTACTTGAATAAATTTTTAAGATTTAACTCCGGAGTTTAGTGTCACTTTATTGAAATTAACTGAAAGACTTTGAGCATGTTTTGTTTTGATGCAACTGGAAAGTGAATTTAAACGAATGGTTCAGTTTGGCTTTGAAATGAACCTGAGCTTTACTCATGCAGGGCAAAGTAACAGGCTCTCTTTAATGCCAGCCCCATAAGCTGCTTATACTCCCCTTTGCTCCCCATTCACTCTGTTTGGCCACTGGGAGCAAAGATAGAAAGACCTGTGTCAGCTCTTAGATCTGCTGGAAGCTTACACTGAGCTAAGGATTCTTTCCCTGTCCCCATGTGACAGCACTGGCTGACTGAGTGGCCAATCACCAAACCTTAGGGTGGTCATGTGAGAGGAGGGGCGGGGGTGAGTAACATGCACCTTCTTACATTGAAGTGCAGGGTATTTCTATTTGCTGCCAGCGAATGAACGGAAGGTATATTATTAGGTATGTTCTAAAAATGCATTGGGATTTTGCAGCCGGTTAAAGGAGAACTATGGTGTGTGAAAATCACTCATCCTCATAATTCGAGCCGACGTGTGACAATGAAACGGTCACAGGTCGCCTCAATAGATCGAGAAGTGAGCGAACACATACCGTCGCTCGCTCACTTCTCGATCATCTCTCTGCAGAGAGCCGTGACCCTCACTCACAGCTCCCTCCAGGGATTCCCCCCTCCGATCTTCCAGCGCTGACTGGCGGAACGGACGGGGGAGGGGGTGGGTACAGCTGGCTCTGCCTCTAGATAGGCAGAGCCAGCTGTCAATCACGCAGCTGGGTCAATCTCGACAGTAATGTCGGGATCCATCCTGGCTGCGGCGGTCTCAGTATACTGTGAGCTGTCGCTCATATATAGATATAGATATACTGAGCTTTGGGTCACGGGAGGAGGTTAATATATGTGACCCTTAGGAGAACTATGGGGAAAAACACTTACCCCATAGTTCTCCTTTAAGATGCAAACCATGCTGAGCAGAGTTCTTTATTAAAAATCCAGAAACCATCCTCATGATAACTTACATCGTCTCTGCTGCGTCGGAACTGGTTGAGTTCCGTCTTGGCCCTGCTCAGTTGTGTCTCCAGCTCAAGTGTTTTAGCCTGTGTCACCCTCTCTTTGGATGTCGCTCGTTCTTTGGTCTGGTCCACCTAGTGAAAGTTTCATAAAAGTTATGTAACATCTGCTGGAGCCAAGCACAGATACAGAGGACAAGCACAGGGGTGACTTACATGTCTCCGGGACTCTTCGATGGCCGCCTCCAGCTGCCGAGACAGGGAAGCACAATCCCGGGACTTTTCCTCCAGTCTCAGCTGGTTCTGATGGATCGTCTCTTCCCGCTTGGCCACAACTTGGAGGAGTTCTCTGTTTTGTGCTCCAGCGTCCTCCAATCTCCTAATAAAAGCAACACAAATCTTCAGTATGACCACATTTTTTGTGGGACACACAGCTTTTTTTGGGTGGTATATAATCACCACTGGGAAGGGGGTGGGGGATGTTTTCCCTACTTTATGTTATAAAACATTTATTCTTACCCATATTTTTGGTAAAATATAAAAGACGGGGTCACGTCGGGTAAATATACATCACTTCCTGCATTCGGGGACCGGAGAGGAGATCAGAGGGAGATCGTGTACTGAACTTCCTTTGATCTCCTGTCACAGAGCAGCCATGCCGTTCTTGGCCGCACCGGGCACAGCGGACCTCGGGACGGGCAACGGCAGTGACAGCAGCAGCTGCGTGGGGGGGTTTGTAAAATCGCAGCCAATACAAGCGATCGGGCGTATCTACAGACGCTCAATCGCTTGAATGTAAACCGCCATCCAAGAAGCTCCTGGCCGGCCAGTTAATTACAACAACCGGCTGGGAAGCTACTCATCCGGCTCCGGCGTCCTCTAGTCAGAGATGAGAGGACAAGTAGATTTTCCAAGCCCTGGGCACGTTGTTTTTGTTTTCTGTTCCCTTTGGTGAGATTTACACCTCTCCTTCCATGGGGTCACCAGGACAGAAATGAGGGGGGAATCTTAAGAGTGTATAACAGGTTTAAATACCAGCGCCCCATAGCTATCGCTGAACACCAGGCGATGCGTTTCATCCAGTTATGTAACATAACATGAATTTTGACTGTGCGAATCGAATGACGAGTCCCACTAACTTCAGCAGAGACAAATTCTAAAATGTGCAGGAAAACAACGTGCCTGCATGTGCTGCTTCCATGTGGGCTGGATTTGGTGAGGTATTGCTCCCGTGCTGCCACAAATGCTGCTTAAAAGTCACCAGTGAGAGGGTGACGTCTCACTCATCCAGCCTTGAGGATGCAACGCATACAAGCAGATCATTATTTCTATTCCTTCCTGCATAGAGATCCGGTTATCATCAATGCACTATGTTTTCTTTACTGTGAAGTCACAGGCTAAAGTGTGCCCTGGATAAGGTTGCAGGATAGACTACAGAAGGGTCTTGGATCTGGATCAAAAAATTGGCTGAACAGAATTACAATCTATTTGGCAGCTAAAGACTCATCTCTTCAGGAAGCCCATCCCACCTCAACCTGACCACTGAACCATCACATTCTCAAACAATTCATCCCCACACAGCTACCTCCTCATGTATCACTGGCCCCTCCCTTTTATATTGTAAGCCCTCAGGGGCAGGGCCCTCCTTAACATCTTGTCTTAAATTGTATTGTGATTGTAATGTCTTACTTATATTGTAAAGCGCTGCGCAAACTGTTGGCGCTATATAAATACTATGTAATAATAATAATTTCCATGCAGCATACACTGTACATACTGCATTTTTATCTTTTTGACTGAAGGCGATTATACACACACATCTCCAAAATAGAACTTCCGGGGGTCACTCCAATAATCCTAACTCCGCCAACTCAAATGTTGCATTTAATCTTTTCACCGAAGGTGTGCGGTCAGCGAAATCCACTCATTTTACACACACTTCAGGCCTAATTTAAATGTCATCGGTTGTAGGAAACCACAACGTTTGTACCTCTCCAGCTCTTCCAGTTTCATAGATAGAAGCTTGTTCTCTTCCATTGCGGACTGGTAGCGGTCCCTTGTAGACTCCATCTTGTCTCCCTGCTGCTCCATCTGCACAGTTATATAAAAAGGTTTTTGTTGTTTGGGTTACTTATTTATTACCGCGTGATGAAAAATGACAGCGTCTGAAAACTGGCCTGTTTTTGGTGCAGGAGTCTTGGCACCAGTAGCTTTCATCGTATGTGTTATACACTTTCAACGCCCGAAAAAGAAATACTCATTTTCCGACTCCTAATCTCAACATACCAAGTACATAGAATGTAACAGTCTAGTGTGATGGCACTTATTTTTATTTATATGTATTTCTCGTAACTCAAAGTATTGTTGATCTACAATGGCCACATAACAAAACCCCAATTCAGTTTCAGGAAAATAATCTTTGGTCTGCATATATAATTACGGGTCTAAATAGGATTAAATATGTTAAAGTGTATTTATTAATAATGCCGGTGTTCTATCAAAGATTGTGACTGGGTTGGAATGTGTGACCGGTTACGTGGTCAAACATTTTAACGTAATCCCACCCATTTTTTCCGGCGTTAAATTATGTGACCAGCAAAAGGTGTAGAATTCCAACACTTTCTCAGCTGTTCAGGGCAGATCGGCATGGCAGATGGTATGTAGAGGAGAACCGATCTGCCCTGGAACAGCTGATCGGTCCGGAAATGTCACTTCTATCTGACTTTGTGAGTGCGATCTGACATTTCACAAAGTCGGATAGAAGTGAGATTTCAGGACCAATCAGCTGTTCCAGGGCATATCGGTTCTCCTGTACATACCATCTGTGATGCCGATCTGCCCTGCAACAGCTGAGAAAACTTGGAATTCTACACCTTTTGCTGGTCACATATTCCACCGCCGAAAAACTGGGCGGGATTAGGTGAAAATGTGTGACCACGTCATCGGTCACACATTCTAACGCAGTCACAAACTTTGATAGAACACCTGCAAACACATTTAGGGCATAATTTACACAGGAGCCGCTCTCGAGACTCAGAGTGGAAGCCAGCTGGCAATATGTCAGTTGAGCCAAGGCAGAGGTGGAAGAGAACCAGTGCATGTGGGATCCACCATAGGAACTTAGAAGTTGTTTAGGGAATTCCTTGTACGCCCAAGCTTCACTAGTGGTTAGGAAAAGTACCAAGTCCTATTCATTACTAGAAGTAAAAGGGTGCATGCATGATGCAACGCCGTTACCTACTAATGTCCAAATTGTTTATATTTAAAACATTAACTTACTGTTTCATATACTCAGAAATATAACGCATTATCGTTCCTCAGAATAACCAAAAAACAATACAAATATCCAGCTGTAAAGGAACACTGACACCCAATAATGATATTGATCTAATCATTCTATTGCTGCCTTTCCATATCTGGTTTGATTAAAAATGTAATTATATATATTTTTTATAATTGTTTTATGAAAAACCTAATAATAGAAAATAGCATAACATTCGAGAGTACAGCGGCATAGGGGAGCACACGTGGCTGAACTTAGAAGGTGGAAAATTACAATTGTGATCAGCAAGTAGTAGCCTTCAAGCCACTCAAGTGTGGCCCAGCCATCCAGGACAGAGATTAGAATACAATAAAATATTGGTGGGAGATGCAGGACCACAAAAGCACTAACAGCATCTAACAGTCACATGGGTTGGTCCAGATGTCCCTCAAGTGCGGGGTCCCATCCCAGGTAGCGAAAAGGATCAAAGACAAAATAGTCTTCTAGCACTATAAATCATAATCAGACAGGAATGACAATGAGGTAGACCTGGCCGCTGCATGTGGAACAAGTAAAAGTGGTCATAAAAAGCAAAGAAAAGAAAACGGGGAAGCCTGCGTGGTGACGCAGCCCAGAGGGGAGGGTGTAAATGGGTAGAATGACATTGTGTGGTATGGCTATGAAGAGGACCTCTGATGCTGGGCCGAGGAGTCAGGGGCAGTACGGAAGTGTGAAGAGGGTAAATAGAACTTAGGGGCACTTTTCTATACAGGGACCCATAGAAAAAAAAAAAGAGAGCTGGAGTTCTTCTTTAAAGGAGCACTATGAGGCGAGTGAAAATCACTCATCCTCATAGTTCGAGCCGACGTGTGACAATGAAGCTGTCACACGTCGGCTCAATAGATCGGGAAGTGATCGAACACATACCGTCGCTCGCTCACTTCTCCAGCATCTTCCTGCAGAGAGCCGTGACTGTCACTCACCGCTCCCTGCAGGAATTCCCCCCCTCCCCGATCCTCCAGCGCTGACTGGAGGAACAGACAGGAAGGGTGCGGGTACAGCTGGCTCTGCCTCTAGATAGGCAGAGCCAGCTGTCACTCACGCAGCTGGGTGGATCTCGACAGTATTGTTGGGATCCGTCCCGGCTGCGGTGGTCTCAGTATAGCTCGAGCTGTAGCTCGCTATATACTGAGCTTTGGGTGACGGGAGGACGCTAGTAGATGTCCTCCCGTGACCCTGAGGAGAACTATGGGGAAAAACACTGACCCCATAGTTCTCTTTTAAGTAAAATCCTGCAATGCTTTATATAGAAGCCACTAACCCAGTTTAAGGTGGATAATAGTATTCTGAATAAGTATTTTGAATACTGAAAGGCACCAGATACACTGTTTTCCCATTAATACCACTGACTGCCTTTTGTGTCTAAATAAAGCAGGCAAACAATGAACAACTTATATTAGCAGTAGCTCCCCTACATTTGGCTGCTTGTTCCTACCTGATTGGTCAGTCACTCTGCAGACTATGGCATGAAATAGGTCACTTTTAAAAACTAAGCTGAGGAAATACGTGTGCTGTTTTTTAAGACTTAGCAGAGTTTAAATGGCCAGACTATGAATATGTGACACGCAGTAAAAGAGCTTTAAAACAAGCCCACACTGACGTCTGTAGCTACATGTAGTATGGAATCATTCATTCTCATATCACAAGAGAGATTCGGAACTCTGGCTATATGAGGTAGTAGATTTAGCTTAGCTTACTAGCACCAGCTGATGTTTCCATCAGAGGGTTAGCAGGTTGCCAAGTCCCTACTGCCATAGAAAATAAGGAGGAGAGTAGCTGAGATTTCAGTCCCCTGTTGTCTAGTGTGAAAATTAAATTCTCCACAATGCCTATAGCTACAGAGGTGAATGAAGACTTGTTTGAATGGTGAACTCCGGGTAACAAAAAACTACCCTTGCAGTGGGTCCCTGTCTGCACTGCAAGGGTTAGCTGCTTGTTTTGCCTAGGAGATGATTAATAGGGTGATATACTTACATGTTTCCCCAACCCCCCTACAGCTGTCCAACGTCTTGGGTTGTGTTAGCCATCGGTCTCCTCAATGCAGGACTGCTGGCTCTGCATTGTATGGCATAACATCAGAAAGATGTGACCAGATGGGCAGCGGAGGAAAGTCGCTTAAGGGGCCAGTCACATAAAGAAGAGCAAGCCTGCAGGACCAAAGAATAAAGTAGGTATATTGCCTTATTCATCACCACCTAGGCAAAATGAGCACTCAGTCCTTGCAGTGCAGTGGGGGACCCACTGCAAGGGTACAGTTGTTTCCCGGAGTTCAGCTTTAAATGTGCATAGTCTGGGCACTGGAAGAATCTGCTACAGTTGGGCAGGGTGGAGGCCATGTGGGGTGGTCACAGCACAATGTACATTCCTGTTGCCTCCAGCATCTATGTAGATGGAGTGCCAGTTTCTTACCCTAACACGCAAATTGGAGATGATGGAAGAAAGCTCAGCGTTCTTCTGCTCGTAGCCTTGCAGCTGCTCCTGACATTCCTGCAGCTTTATTTCTGTCATCTTCAGCATCTCTGGGAGCCTCTCCAGTTCTTCTAAACGACTCTGAAATTTCCTATGAATCTGAAGGCAAAATTGCCAGGCTGAAGTTTAAATATGCCAGGATGCAGAATAATGGTAATTAAATGCTATTGGCTGCCCACTTTCATTTCTTCAACCACTCTGTCAACCCCAGTCAGGAATTTTAAAATGGGACGTGTAGTCTTATTAATATTTATCTAGATATACATGTGAAATGAGTTATAAAAACAGGCAAACTGCTAAGCACACAGCTGAAATACAAGTGGGAGCTGTTTACCTGCTAACAAATATGTAGGTCTGTCCATTCAGACCAATTGCCACTAGTAAGCCAAGCCAGGATGGTGACCTGACTTCTTTACGGGAGGTAAATAATAAAATGTTGGTCACTTTCCTGCCCCCAGCCTGTGACTGGCCAGAGAAAAAAAAAAAGCAGAAGACTGATCAACTCATCCATCTGCTCATTGCACCTTTTTCCCCCAATCAGCATATGTGCAAAGCAGACCATCTGACTGGCCCCTGATGCTGCCCCTTCCTTTCCCAGTGTGAGTGCTGCTGTACTGGGGATTAAAAGAGGCTAAACCCAACCCAATTCAGGTACTTTAACTATCTGCATTTAAGCATGGGTTTAATTATTTATTTAATGGGCACATTACTGCAAGAATTATGTTTTTCTGCTTGCAGTCCATGCTTACTCTTATAAGTGTGTACTGATGCTTCATAAACCTAACTTTAATGGGATTCTGAAGATCCAGAGATACCAGAAAACAATTGCTCAGAAGATCCAGAGATACCACAAAACAATTGCCCTGAAGATCCAGAGATACCACAAAACAATTGCTCTGAAGATCCAGAGACACAACAAAACAATTGCCCTGAAGATCCAGAGATACCACAAAACAATTGCTCTGAAGATCCAGAGATACCACAAAACAATTGCCCTGAAGATCCAGAGATACCACAAAACAATTGCTCTGAAGATCCAGAGATACCACAAAACAATTGCCCTGAAGATCCAGAGATACCACAAAACAATTGCCCTGAAGATCCAGAGATACCACAAAACAATTGCCCTGAAGATCCAGAGATACCAGAAAACAATTGCTCTGAAGTTCCAGAGATACCACAAAACAATTGCCCTGAAGATCCAGAGATACCACAAAACAATTGCTCTTTAAGAAGTCTTCATTCTAAGTTTTTTTGCATGTGAGCCACTTAAATTTGTTGGACATAGCATCATCTTGAACAGGGATGTCAAACTCAATTTCATTGCAGACCACATCAGCATTATGGTTGCCCTCAAAGGGCTGGTTGTATCTGTAAGACTAAATAAATGTAGCTACTCTTTATTATATTACATAATTGCCTCTGCATTCGATTATTACTGGTTTTAGTAATAATTAGCTCTAAAGGAAGTTTAGGAAAATTAATGGCAATTTGTGTAATTGTGCACTCTCTTGGGTGGCTATGCAGGTTCTATAGTGGGCTGTGTGGGGTCTATAGTGGGCTGTGCGGACTCTCAGGTGGCTGTGCAGGTTCCATCGTGGGCTGTGCGGGGTCTCAGGTGGGTGTGCAGGTTCTATGGTGGGCTGTGCAGACTCACAGGTGGCCGTGCAGGTTCTATGGTGGGCTGTGCAGACTCACAGGTGGCTATGCAGGTTGTATGGTGGGCTGTGCAGGTTCTATGGTGGGCTGTGTGGACTCACAGGTGGCTATGCAGACTCTCAGGTGGCTATGTAGGTTCTATGAAGGGCTGTGCAGGGTCTATGGTGGGCTGTGCAGACTCCCAGGTGGGTTATGTGGGGTCTATGGTGGGCTGTGCAGACTCCCAGGTGGGTTATGTGGGGTCTATGGTGGGCTGTGCAGACTCTCAGGTGGCTGTTCTGTGCAGGGTCTATGGTGGGCTGTGCAGACTCCCAGGTGGGGTATGTGGGGTCTATGGTGGGCTGTGCAGACTCCCAGGTGGGTTATGTGGGGTCTATGGTGGGCTGTGCAGACTCTCAGGTGGCTGTGCAGGTTCTATGCTGGGCTGTGCGGGCTCTCATGTGGCTGTGCAGGTTCTGTTGGGCTGTGCGGACTCTCAGGTGGCTGTGCAGGTTCAATGTTGGGCTGTGCGGATTCTCAGATAGGCTGTGCGGTCTCACCGGGGGTCCCGGTCAGTCTCTGTGCAAGATTTTCTGCCGGCGCAGTAAACAGGCGCTGAAATTCACAGGAAGGATGCCGGGACCTTGCTGGGGACCTCGGCAGCTTTCCTCTGAAGCCCGGCAACTGTTTACAGCGTTGGCTTCAGTTAAAAAAATGTAAAGCTGCAGAAGAGGTGCGAGGGCCACATGACATGGCCTGGCAGGCTCTAGAAGATTCTGGAGAGTCAGTTTTGGGTTCTCCTAACCAACGCCCAACTCTTACAATGCCTTCTTTGGGGCTTATGGTTATTGTGACTGTGGAGTTCTTCCTTGTCATCAGCCATTTTCCACAATTATTATCCACCCCCCTGCCAAACAAGAATTCCCCTGGAAAAATGTCAAAGACGTCATTCTGGCTTTTGCTACTTGGTTACCATAAGACAGCATCCCTTTTAATGCACCTTAGGATGAACTGGTCAGGCCTGGGGATTGGTTGGATTGTGGTGACCTTCTGGATCTTCATCTAAAGCTCTTTGCAGTTCATCCAGTCAGAGAAATGTGGGCACAACATAAAACCTATAAAACCTTCTTAGTATCACTATTCTGCAAATGGAACAGGTGGCTAATTTCAGATACCCGCTAATTGCACTCCTTCTCTAAGTGACTACACCCCGGTGACTACACCAGTCAGGGTGATGTAAGGGAAGAAAATAACTCATGCACCACCAAACTAATGGCAGATAAGTACTTTTATTTCCTGCATTCCCATTTGGGAGATACCGCACACTTCCTGCCCATATGGCATACAGGAAATGAGAATGAAAAATATGGATACACACAGCAATAAAAACCTGATGAAGGTTCTAACACCTCTGCAATCTATTGTGTTTTGCTTAAAGGGTCAGTCCACCTAAAAGTGATGTTTTTCTTACAAGTGGATCCTGGTGGGCTCAGTCAACCCTTGGCTTCTTATATCTCTTGGATTGGCTAAAAGCAAGACATTTGCCTTAGCTAAAAACAAGGTAAGCCCAGCCGCAACTGAAAACAAATGTCCTTGTCCGCCTGAGAGTTTTAGGTGTTCTCGCCCACATTTGCATGTTCCTACACCTCCATTATCTATAATATTAAAATAACTAAAAATACCATAGGGAGAGTGAGATGCCCTCATAATGGGCAGAGCAGGAGTGCAGACCCAAGAACCGAGTGCAAAGATCAGAGTCCAGAACACTATCAGAGATATAAGAAACTATCACTTGGTGTATCTCTCCAGAATCTACAAAGAACAGAAACATTTTTGGGAGGACTAACAACACACCCCCAAATTACTTATTAATTGAGGAAGATTTGATGGATATATTAGGAGCTATGATGTTGAACTTCAGCTTTGAGTTCTCAGAAATATGAACATTTGACCAATGTGGCCAGTATCCAATCCTCATGTAGTATAACCCAAAAGTTTAAAGGAGAACTATGGGGTCAGGGCTTTTCCCCATAGTTCTCCTTAGGGTAATGGGATTACACAAACTACCATCCTCCCGTTACCCTAAGCTCAGTATACGGCGAGCTACAGCTCGCGGTATACTGAGACGCCGCAGCCAGAGCGGATCCCGACATCGATGTCGAGATCCACCCAGCTGCGTGAGTGACAGCTGGCCGTGCCTATGTAGAGGCAGAGCCAGCTGTACCCGCCCCCTCCCCGGTCCGTTCCGCCAGTCAGCGATGGCGGATCGGAGCAGGGAGGGGGGAATCCATCCCTTCCCCTGTCACGGGAGAGAGCCGTGACAGGATCGAGAAGTGAGCGCACGCCGGTATGTGTTCGCTCACCTCGCGATCTACTGAGCCGACCTGTGACAGTCTCATTGTCACAGGTCGGCTAGAACTATGAGATGAGTGAAAAGCACTCGCCTCATAGTTCTCCTTTAAGACTTCCTGTGTCCCTCAATCGATGAGAAAGAGAAGAAAACTGAAGCAGTCACCACACTATGCCATCAATGACACAGTATGACATGGTCACATAACCAGGCTCATCTTCAGATAATAGTCTGTCATACCTGTTCTAGTTCAATGCTCATCTCGTCCTTTAGGTTTTTATTCTCTACATCAGATCTTTCTAGTTGTAGGCTCATTTGATCGGCCTCGAGTCGAGTCTTTTTCATCTGTGAAAGAGAAAAAGGTCAGAGGTCAGGCAGAAGCAGACAAAGTCAGCCTGTCAATAAAAAATACACACAATACACTACTGAAAGGAGAGCTTATTATGTGTGTGGATGAAGTGTGGTGGGATTTTATATTTACTGCTCTTTAGGACCTTAACAAGATGATTTCCTTCTGTCCTTAAAGTGACATTAAACCCTCAGATTTTTAACATAAAACAATAGTGTAATGTGCGCCTTACTGTAATCCATGGTTGTTTCCCTTCTCTTTGCTGCTCTTCCTTTTAAATCCTTATCTCTTCTCATGCTTGGGGAGAACTTCCCTTTGCAGCTGAGTGCCTCTTCCTGTAGTGCTGGCTCAGGTTGCAAACCTTCACACAGACACCGTGTATCCATTCCAGAGACAAGGCAGTCTGCTGCAAAACAGAAGTTCTGACCAGCATGAGAACAGATACAGATTTAAAAGGAAGAGCAGCAAAGAGAAGGGAAACAACCATGGATTACAGTAAGGCGCACATTACAGTATTGTTTTATGTTAAAAAATCTGAGGGTTTAATGTCACTTTAACACAGATCAAAGGCCGAAGTGCATTCTTCATATATTCTTGTGGAGAATCCACTGGAGAACAGACGATACCACATTTCTGCGTGTAGTCCTAAAGTAGTATCTCCATGAATGGAGCTTGAGTTCTACAAAGGGTCTGCCCAGCGAGGAGGAGAGAATCTGTTGGTATCTAAACCAAGATAAGACATAGTTGGGACAGGTGTTTTGTAGCGTTGGTAAGGAGGGAAACCAGTCATTACGTAGGATGGTGTGTAGCCTGCGGTGGTCCTGGTTGTTAAAAGCTATGAACTATTGTTTACAAGAGTTGGAGGAAAGTCAGGATTGCCAAAAGGTGGGGTCATTGGACCTAATCAGGTGGATAGAAGTGTGTCACAAGTTTAGAGAAGATGATGGGTAAGGAGAGGATATTTGTGTGGGGCATCTAATGGGATTGGTTAATCCAGGGGAGTGAGCTTAGGTCTGTAGGTACAAGGCCTTGTTTAATAGTGACCCAGCTTTTCCAGTCCTCATTATGAAACCAATCCCCTAGTCTGGGGAGGCCTTATATAGGATAAGATTGGTGGATCTTGATCTGCCTTTCGTTTTAGGATACTTTAGCCTGGGACAGTCGAGTGCCAATGTGGTGTGCAGTTTGTGGAGGAAAAAAAGTTGGAAGGGTTTTGGAAGAAAATGAGGTAAATACATTGGCTAAAAGGTCAGATGGGATGGATTAAATATTTTATTGCCTGAGAACATATGCTGTACTTTATACTTTAGATTGTGGGTTGCGAGCAGTTAAAGGAGTTGTAACTTTTCATCCACACCTCCACCACAACCTTTCCAACTCCTCCCCCACGTACCACACAACCTTTCCCACTCCTCCCCCACAACCTTTCCCACTCCCCCCCACCTACCACACAACCTTTCCACTATTTAGGCAGGAAGGAGAGAAATATTGAAGAGTTCTAACTTATACTTGAGTTTGAAGTTGCAGAGAGAGAGAAAAACCTTTTAAACTCGGGAATGATAAATGTCATTGAAGCATGGGGAAATGTAATATAGAGTAGGTTATCTGCAAAGTAAGTTTATGATAGTGAGCATGTGAAGAAATGCCTTGGATATTGGGGGTGTTAAGGAGGGCAACAGCGAGGTGCTCTATACCTATGGTGGAAAGTAGAGGTGACAGGGGACATACCTGTCTGGTTCTATTATGTAGCTGGAATGTCTATGATAGGGTTTCCTTAAAGAGGCTTTCCTCTAGAGTATAACGCCATAATAGTGTCTAGTAAGACAAGCCTTGTGCAGAAGAGGTGATTTAGGAACAACCAGTTGACCCATTGAAATGCTTTTTGGCATTGACTGGGAGGAGGCACATTTCGATTTCTGAATCCTGGGCCTCTTAGGAGAAGAGAGTAGTTTTTATGGTGTTGTCTCTTCAAGACCAGGAGAAAAGCCCACCTTATCCAGGTGGATAAGAGATGGTAGCTGTTCCTGCAGTCTGTTAGCTGTTAGTTTGGTGAAGAGTTTAAGTTCAACTTTTATGAGAGATATGAGCCGATAGTTGGCACAGATTGAATGGTCCTTTCTGGTTTTGAGGATTAAATATATATGTTCCTCTAAAGTTTGCTCTGCGAAAGTAGAGATAGAGTTGGAAACTTTGGTTTGAAATGGGGTAGGTGCTAAGCCAAAAGATTATGGTGTAATGTTAGTAATTTCCCATGTTCTATTTTTCTCTTATTTTGCATCCATGTTGTATTATTATTACCCTGATGACGGCTCTAAGGGCTTACTGTTGAAAAGGGAGAGGCGAAATTTATATTTTTTAAATGAACATTTGACTAAAGTCAAACCTGTTATAAGAGAAATGTGGTAGCTGTCTTCGCTCACCTCTCCTTCTACAAATGCTTTTTGCCTTGCTGATATGTTTTTCCTTCTACTTTAGTGCTTTGCACCTATGATCCGCAGCAGGCCCACAGATAGGAACTTCTAACTTTTCTCGCACTTCCCTGATCTGCATGCTTGTTGCATATCATTGAATCAAGGTATTGAAGGCAGAGACTCAGCATAACAACCAGACAACTACCGTAGCAATGTCAGAAGGAGTCAGGGGTCTTTGTACAGCTGAAACGGGTAGAGCCAATATCACAGCGGGCACAGAAAAATATTACCATGACAAACCTGATCTTTATAGGTATCAACCAGACTTTCATACTGATGCAGAGAATTCTTTAGCTGCTGAATTTCGCTGTGAGCCAGCGTCAGCTTCTCCTCCACAGTGGAAAAATGGGCCTACAAGGAGCAATGAAAGAAAACGATGTATCATCAAGTAATGGACACACTCTAAACTATGTAAGACCAAGGATATCACTGCCCTCTATGAATGCTGGCAAAATGCCAACCCATTCTACTGCTGCCAGCTCTCTCTTGCTCTCTGTCAGCTGTGGGAGCTGCTGTATGTGCCTGGAGTGCAGAGAGACAGAGAGAGAGCCATCGCCAGTAGTATTATGTACGGGAAATGACAGCTCTGGATGAGTGAGCAATAATATTGTTCTTAGGATGTATCAGTCCAATCATGTGAAGAGATAGAGCAGGAGCTCTCACACAGCAGTGATGTGGTTCTGACATTCCCAAATTCCTTAGACAGCCAGCATTTGTTTTAGAAAGTACTGCCACTGCCCTACCACCATGCTTTACAACCCAGATTTGGTAATAATGCAGAGAAAATGATGGACCATGATAAACCAAAGGATGGTTCTGCTGACCTTAAGCTTCTCATGTTCCATACGAAGGCTGGTGTTTTCTGTGGTCTGTTGGTGGAGTCTATCCAGGATAGAGTCACGGTCAGATCGTGTCTTGTCTTCATTGTTATGACTCTCCTCCAGCAGCTTGGCCACTCGGCTGGTGAAGACAAGAAGGTTATATTGAGATACACAGTGGCATATTTATACAACAGTGGTATGGCCTTAACATTCCCACATCTCTGCTTAAAGGAGAACTATGAGGTGTGTGATTTTCACTCAACTTCATAGTTCGAGCCGATGTGTGACAATGAAACTGTCACATGTCGGCTCAATAGATCGGGAATTGAGCAAACACATACCGTCGCTCGCTCACTTCTCAATCAAGTCCCTGCAGAGAGCCGTGACTGTCACTCACGGCTCCCTGCAGGGATTTCCCCCCTCCTCCAGCGCTGACTGGCAGAACGGACAGGGGGTGGGTACAGCTGGCTCTGCCTCTAGATAGGCAGAGCCGGCTGTCACTCACGCAGCTAGGTGGATCTCGACAGTAATGTCGGTATCTGACCCGGCTGTGGCGGTCTCAGTATACCGTGAGCTGTAGCTCGCAATATACTGAGCTTTGGGTCACGGGAGGACGCTAGGTTTTGTCCTTCCGTGACCCTTAGGAGAACTATGGGGAAAAACACTTACCCCATAGTTATCCTTTAATTAAAAAAAAATGTGTGTATATCTACATATACTCTATCAGGAGGGTCCTGGAAGGGTGCTATTTTTCCCCTCTGTTTGGGTTGTGGTCCCTTTAATGGGCAGTTTAGCAAAGAAAATCCTGTAGAGTACAGATGGACTTGTGTCTTTTTTCAACCTTACTAACTATGTAACAACCCGAGCTACATTTTATGAATGGGCAGTAAAATGCAGGCAAGGTGTGAACTAATATTACAGTTTAGAATGGAGAACAGAGAGCAATCTCCGCTCTGTAATTAATGTCCCCCCATAATCTGCCACCCCCCTCCAACCCTCTGCTAGCACATTAGCCATCCAACTTACTCATTCAGCATTGTGACCTCAGTCTCCAACTGGCTCTTATCGTTCATCAGCATGTTGTTTCGGCTCTTCAGGGACTCCATGCTGGACAGAGCAGCGGAAAGTTCAGCGTTCTGTCAAATTGAAAGAAATATAATTGCTTCAAGAAGCACTCTGTTATTGATCTGCAGAAAGGACCTTCCTGCACACAAAACTGGAAGGAAAAGGAAGTTTCTCCAAAGCAAGTGTTCCCAAGGGAAGATTTCCCTTCAAAAAAAAACAAACAACTTAAAAGGAGAACTATGAGATGAGTGATTTCCACTCACCTCATAGTTCTAGCCGACCTGTGACAATGAGACTGTCACAGGTCGGCTCAGTAGATCAGGAGGTGAGCGAACACATACCGGGTTCGCTCACCTCTCGATCCTGTCACGGCTCTCTGCCGTGACAGGGGAGGGGCTGGATTCCCCTCTCCCCGCTCCGATCTGCCAGCGCTGACTGGCAGAACGGACGGGGGAGGGGACGGTTACAGCTGGCTCTGCCTCTAGATAGGCAGAGCCAGCTGTCAGTCACGCAGCTGGGCGGATCCCGACGTCCAGGTCGGGATCCGCTCCGGCGTCTCAATATACCGCGAGCTGTAGCTTGCGGTATACTGAGCTTAGGGTAACGGGAGGACGCTAGTTTGTGTCCTCCCGTTACCCTAAGGAGAACTATGGGGAAAAACACTGACCCCATAGTTCTCCTTTAATAGGGGTCCCAACACTCTCCAAAACTTAACAAACTGTTCTTTTTATAGATGCACTGTGTCCCAATCAGAAAACAGCAAGATGGAATAGTGGATGCAATGCTAACAATTTGATAAGACTATAGTATAGCCAAGTGCCGTGACCAATTACATTCTGCAACCCAAGCTTGGTATGTTGCAACACTTTAAATCAGTACCCACTTCTAAGTGAATTTGCATTTTGAAACTTCCCATGGAGATACCAAGCACGCTGGAATAATTGGAATTTTGTGATAGACTCCCAGAAGCCCTGCATTTTATTCATGTAAAAAATTAGGGATGCACCAATACCAGTTCTTTGGTATCGAGTACGAGCACCGATATCTTTTTATCGGTAAACGCCAATACAAAGTACTGATACCAGCGTCCTGAGGTATCTAGGGCACGGCTTCCCGGCCAATCATTGGTCAGGAAGCCAGGCTGCTTTGCAGTGGTGCTAGGCAGCGTGAAGCTGGCTTCCTAGCCAATTAGGAAGCCGAGAGGCAGGTTATGACCCGCCACCCCCGGCTTTTCAATTGCCCGGGAAGCCTGCTTCATGTCCCCTCATGGCACTGCCGATCAGAAGGGATCTCGCCCAAATGGTCAGTATTGGCACCGATACCGATATCAGTAACGGTATCGGTGCATCCCTATTAAAAATGGAAACAGATTAAAAGTACCAAGCATCAGGAAAGAGAAGAAGACCAATCAATAAGCCTGCTAATGTGATTTGAGGTTATAAGATGCATTAAAGAGTACGTAGGAAACAGTAAGTAGAGGTTTGACAGATCACAGGTCTGACTCCAGACCTAAGATTTACGGTTCTCTACATAAAATAGAGCATGCTGGGACTTGTAGCTCCTAAAGACCTACAGAGCCAAAGCCTCTCCCTATCTGCATTATTAAATACAAAATATTCACCCTCTGATATCTGAATGTGTCTGGAGGAAAAACTATTTTAGCTGTCCATAGCAATCTAACAGCATGGAACTATTACTTGCCCACCCTGCATAAGAAACATTCTGATTGGCTGCTATGAGCAATGTGAACCATTCTTCCTATTGTGTCACCTATGATGCACTATAAATCACCTTCTCCATGAGCTGTGTATGGTGTATCCGCACTTCCTCCTCACTTCTTTCTGCTCGATGTTTCTGGACACGGACGGATCTCTTTAGAGCCTCTTTCTCTGGCTCCATACGCTGCTTGAAATCATCTAACTGAACAGTCATTAATTTCAGTTCATCTTTGTGCCGAGCTTCATTGTGCTCCATATTCTGAAAGGACAGATACATGAATACAAATTTGTTAGACATTATTTGCCACAGAATGTAACACAAAATTTGATTGGTCACTATGGCCAAAGTTTCATGGAGAACTTTTTATAAATAAGCCTCCAAATCCATTTGTGGAAAATGGCGCTACTCACAGAGGTCCAGATGTGGGCAGGTCAATGTGGACTTTTTGCATTGTCCATGGAACTGACTTTTGCGCTACTTGGAGAAAGCCCCACTTAAAAACCCAAATCCCATCCACATTGTTGTGAAGTCCAATATGGAAATCGCTGCTGGTTACTGAAGCTGTAGCATTGGATTATTAATCAGTGATGGGTGTAGCTTCAAAGCAGGCAGAACTGAATGACCTGTGTGTATAGTAGGCACCACGGATACAGGAGCTCCTAAGACACCATGAAAATGATTAGAAAATCATCACAGATACTTGTAGGTACCACAAGATTGGTCCCTTTTTCTAGGACTGTCTGGAGATACACTATGAAAGAATATATCCCCTTCACGACCTATGACGGGATAATCCTGTCATGAAGTCTGAAGGGGTTACACAGGCTCCCAGGGGCTATTAGCCACCGGGAGTCTGTTCCGTTTTGTAGAGCCGGTGACCGGCTTTACAGTAGAAGCGACTCTGGCGACACCCCCGCCTTGTTTCCTGGACTCCGCTGTCCCTCCTACTGGGCCCAGGACCGGCTTGCCGGGTGTTGGCGGGAAGCTGGGGAGGAGAGTGGCGAACATCCGTTCCTGATCCCCTTCTTGTACTATGGGACCAGGAGCCACGCGTATTGCATCAGTTTCGGTCCCATAGCTGTCAGTGCTGGACTCCTGAAGCCCAGCAATAAGCTATTGAAGTGCGATCTGCACTTCAATAGCTTATTTCAAGTGTAAAGGTGACACGAGGGGTCTTTTGGACCCACAGCATCACCTTAAAGAGTACCTATCACCACTAATCTGCTATCACATAGGGGGCTTGTAAGGCTCCCTATGTGATAGCAATTAAAGTAAAAGTTTAAAAAAAAAAAAACTGTTTTAAAAATAATATTCAATAAATTAAATGTAAATTTTTTTTTTAAAAGAGAAATTAAAGTCCCCCGCCCCTGCGAGCATGCGTGTTGTCACGTAAACAAGCGTTGGGTGCGCCTACGTACGACGATTGCGCTACACATGCCAGAGTGAGAGCAATAATTCTAGGGCCAATATTTACAGGTAAACTGATGACCTGTGGGGGCTTTTAAAGCGTTGTGTATGGACTTTTTGGGGTACTAAATTTGGTCGCAGTTTCATGGACACACACAATGTTTAACCTGGGTATGTTGGGCATCTTTTTACTCGTTGTAACCTCATATTTTACCAAAAAAATGGTTTTATATTGTATTTTGGGGCACTAAATTTACCTTAAGTGCAGTTTTCAAAAAATGTTGGGGCTTGATAACAAGTTGCGCTAATGTCGTGCAACATAAAAATTTGCAACTGCTACCATTTTATTCTATAGGGTCTTGGCATTCAGAAAATATATAATGTTTGGGGGTTTTAAGTAATTTTTCAGGCCTAAAATGTGGATTATAACATGGGTGCAAAAAATGAAAAAAAAAAAAGGCCTTGGTCCTTAAGGGGTTATACTACTTACCCTGAGTTGGACAGAGAGGCGGTTATTCTCGGCCTCGCGGCTCCTCAGCTGCCCCTGTAAGTGAGCTCTTGTTGTTTCTAAAGACTTCGAATATTCGGTCGATGTTCTAGCTAGATCCTATGGAAGATCAGGCATGATCAGAGCATATAAACTATAAAACATTGACAACACAATAAACACACAAATGTTGAATTAAAAAACATGAATTTCTGACCTTTTCTGTCTTCAGCTGAACCCGCAGGTCTTCAATCTCTTTGTCTCGCTCATGAAGCCTCAGTTGGAGATGCTGAATAAGCAAAAATATCAGGAATTAGAAGATAGGAAGAGGACGGAGCTGCCAGTGTTTAGTTTGTTTGTGAAGCTGGTGATATGATCATCAATCAAAACAATGAATCATTTTTTATCTAATCTATATAAATCAATGGATTCAATCTGTTACTTTGTTATTTATTGAAAAAGGGAGAAAGAAAAAATGTGATGCACAGGGTCCTCTTCAGATTGTTAAGATCCGTCCCGGCTGCAGTGCTCTCAGTATATTAACTTCCAATGGGCAATAGCCTGCTATATACTGAGCTTATACGCAGGGGCGTCCCGAGGTCGGTTGTCACCCGGTTTCTAGACCATCTGATTGATGCCTGCCGGCGGCCACCTTAGTGATGGATGCCGGCAGAGAGAGGAGGGGACGTTTACCCGGCGGGATGAGGTATGCCGCCGGGTCCCCTCCTCTCTCCTGACACTGTCGGGCTCTCGGTCCATGACTGAGTGCTCGACTTTTTAGAGGGGTGTGACACCAAAATGACTGCAAGTAATTTTGGTGTCACCCCTGCAATGGTGACATCCGGGTACGGGCCGCACCCCCCTTGTGACACCACTGCTTATATGCTATATACTGAGCTTTGGGTCACGGGAGCAGGTTAGTATATGTCCTCCCGTGATCCGAAAGAGAACTATGGGATAAAAAGGTTACCCCATAGTTCTCTTTTAATGTATAAAAAGCATGCCGTTAGTGAAATCTGAGAAAAGAACTCCTGATCTGCATACTTGCTCCAGGTCAGTGACTGAAGCCACTGGATCACCATAACAGCCATCAACCAAAATCTTTACATTGGAGAGTTCAGCAATAACAGTCTGCATATATTTTCTTCACATTATTAAGCTGCAGGAGCCCCAGTATCAGACATAGCACAGCAGGTGACAACTGGAACGGCAGCTACAGGTCTTGGTGAAGGCAGATAGTTAAAGGGAGCCCATTTATAGGAGATGTATATTGGTTTATGTTAGAAATCTATATCACTCTTCATCAAATCACACATACAGCTCTCTCTGTGTCAGCATCAGACAGCTTCTTCAGTAAATTCTCTTTCTGCTCCAACAGCCGGTGAGTTTCGGTCTGTAAAATAAAAAGAATATGCAATCATATGAATTAAATCCTGGCAATACTTCCTGGTCTCTCTGTCGTTCATCCAAACTCAAAGAATAATGTGTGTGTGTGTGTGTATATATATTTATATATACACACACACACACACACACACACACACACACACACACAAGACATTCATCAAATCACACATACAGCTCTCTCTGTGTCAGCATCAGACAGCTTCTTCAGTAAATTCTCTTTCTGCTCCAACAGCCGGTGAGTTTCGGTCTGTAAAATAAAAAGAATATGCAATCATATGAATTAAATCCTGGCAATACTTCCTGGTCTCTCTGTCGTTCATCCAAACTCAAAGAATAATGTGTGTGTGTGTGTGTATATATATTTATATATACACACACACACACACACACACACACACACACACACACACGACACAGACTGGCAGAGCGAGGGGCAGCAGTTAGCCCTTCAGTCTATATGGCATTGCACAGTTTTGACAATCTAACACTTGGAACTTGCTGACAGAAGTGGACAGCAGAGCGATGACCATCTTCACTGCCCAGCTAGCAGACTAGGGTGGATTGGTGACCGCTGCACTGTTCGACTGCAGTGAAGAAAACTCTGTTCACTGAACCGCCTATGCTCTCTAGAAGTGGGGACTGACAGACTACAGTTACGGCCTGTGTCGACAGGCTTTCATTCACTTCCAATGGGGTTTGCATTCCCAAACAAGTGTGTAGGAATGAAAAACCCGCTTGAAGCAGATCAAATGCAGGTCCAAGAGGGGCCAACTGCAGGTCAGCTGCACCTGTCAATGAATTCTAAATGCTCTCAGAAGGTTCTCAAACTGATATTAAACTATTACCATCAAAATGAGTCTAAAGCCCATCAACACAGGCACTACAAATATTTGGCAGGTAAAAGCATTCACACGTCTATGATATCTATTTGGCTGTTTGCCTTGAATTCTGCTTTAAAAGGTACAGGAAGACAAAATATGTATTTTTTAACACTCGCCATACATTTGCTAGGGGGTTCACATTATAGACAGAGATGTGTGTTTCACTCATTAGTGCCCCTTTTGGCACTATACCTGTCAGCCATTAAGCTTATGTTCTGCTTGCCCTGCTTCAGGCAATGATATATGATAACACAACGATGGAAAGTGAATGGAGTAGCTTCAAGAAGGCACAGCAGTCTGTGGAATGTTCTGCTTTTCCAGGACACATTCCTACAACTCCCATCTCTGCATTTGCAGGATTTCTGGAACTGTCAGATCTGCCAGAACTTCCAGGATCTCTGCCAGTACCTCCAATGGCTTTTGCAGAATTTCTGCCAGAATCTCTGCCAGTACCTCCAATGGCTTTTGCAGAATTTCTGCCAGAATCTCTGCCAGTACCTCCAATGGCTTTTGCAGAATTTCTGCCAGAATCTCTGCCAGTACCTCCAATGGCTTTTGCAGAATCTGTGCCAGTAATTCTAAGGGTGTTCACAGAATCCCTGCAAGGACTTCCAGCGCTCCTTGAAATAACACTGGGTGTGCCCTCCGACTCGGAGGGGTATTTAAGCACCAGCTCTGCAAGTGGCTGATGCTGAGTCTTCTTGCTAGCTACACTGCTTTGTGTAAAAAAGTTATACTACCGATTGCCCGTTTCATTGCTGACCTGAATTAACCCGACTACTCTCTTGCCTGCCCTAGACTTCCACTTGAGACTGACCACTCTCTTGCTTGCCCATGACCTCTGCCTGGATCTGGCTACTCTTCTGGTGAGTGTTTATTGTGTCTCTTCCTGCCCCTGATCACCCCTTTGTGGGGTGATTCTGAGGGCCGCATCTTGGCACCAGCCAGCAGCAAAGCGCTCCATGGGCCACTAGGGCTCCCAGCCCATCTTGCACTCTGGTAAAGACTAGCTGGTGCTTGGACTCTGTGCTTTGGATGAGACTGCATCACCTGCCAGAGGGTATTGGTGTAACATCAAGACACAAGCCCTTCTTCCGGCTACCGGAGACTGTTCCCCACTTGATGCACTTTGCCTGAGCAATTGGGCTTCTTCCTAGCTGCAATCCAGTTGTTATTGTTTAATGACAGATCAGCATCCCCAGGTCATTTGGGGACAGTGATCTGTCATTACAACTAGGCGGAGCCAGCTGTGAGATCACGGCTAGCTCCTCCTAGCTGTCATTTGCATGGAGATCGCCCGACCTTCTCTGCGCTTCGGCTGTGAATACGGCTCAGCCGAGCAGAAGCATATGGGTTCGGCTTGGCTGCTCTACGGGCTATAGTGAATAGCCCGTACAGCAGCCCATTGTACTCTCCCAGATGCTCCAATACTATTCCCGATACCGGAATTTCAGATATCAGGAAAACGAGCCATTACGTGCCGCCAGGCTTCCTGATTGGCCGGGAAGCAGGCTTCGTACTCCCTCGTCACTTGGTGACGAGGGAGCTGGTAGCCGGCTTCCCATCCAATCTGGAAGCTGGACGGCATGTGATGACTCGCCGCCCGGCTTCCTGATTGGGCAGGTAGCTGGCTTCATGCTTCCTCGTCACTTGGTGATGAAGGAGCATGGAGCCGGCTTCCCGGCTATTCAGGAAGCCGGGCAGCAAGTCATTACACGCCACCCGGCTTCCTTAATTGGACTTCCGGTATTGGTGAGTACTGAAAAAAAAATTATTGGTGCTCGATAAAGAAAAACCGGTATCTGTGCATCCCAAGACAGTAGTTTTTTATGTTCTCCTGAGACTATGCCAGTGTATCGTTGCTTACCATCTTCTGAAAACACTAGTTTCCTGGCTATCACGCTGATCCTTTGGATTCAATAGTTTGAGTCAATGACCTACTAAAAGAAGCACTGAGTCACAGCTCCTGATGTGTAAACTTGTACCTGTGCAGAAAGCATTGAGGCCACTGGACCATCTTGACAGGCAGACAACTAGCATATTCAGAAGGAGAGGTCAGCAATGGGAACAAGTGTATGTTTCTCAACACAGGATTCCTTTAAGTGGGTTGGACCTCACCTCTCGGCTGTGTTGCTCCCTGAGCAGAGTCCTTAAAGTTCTGTTGGTCTCTTGAAATGTGTTCAGCTTCTCCAATAAAATCTCCTTCTGCCGGGTGAGGGTGTTCATGTCCGTGCTGTTCAATCTCTTCTCCTGCAAAGGACAGAACTGATCAGAGATGGAGCTAATCGGGAAACAAAATAGACTTTGGTCTACTGCTATGAAAATCACTGACCTGCTTCATCTGAGTGATCGTGTCCCGCAGCAGTTTGACTTGTCTTGCTGCCTCTGCCCCGTCCTTCTCCGTTTCCACCAGCTTGGCGAGCAGGTGAGACTCTTCTTGCTGCAGCAGCTGCTTTTGCCTCCTAAAGTGCAATACATTTCAAATGAAGAAATATCTAGTCAGCCGGTTACAATACAATGCATGTCAAGAACACCCCACAATGTGGACACCTACAAACTCATGTCTGTTTCCTCCTTGATGCGGTCAATGCTCCTCTTCAGACGAGTGTTTTCATTCTCTGCCTCAGCCAGCTCCTGGGATACCTCATGGAGTTCGTCACTCTTGGCATTCAGCAGGCGCTTGGAGGCTTCCAACTGTGCTTCAAATCGCTCAATAGAATGGTCCCTCTTCTTTAACTCCACCTGTTGGGAAGACAAGTTTGTACTCTCCGTCTTTTTTTCTGTATCTGCTACACTAGACAGAGGGCTACCCAGTCCCCTCACCTCGTTCTTCAGTGTTCTAACTTCACACATCAAGCTGTCGATCTTCTTTTCGTAGGAGTTGATCTTGCTTCGCAAAACCTCTTCCTCGTCAGTAGAGAGGTCACTCATACGTAATGCCGACATCATCTTTTCCATATCAGGGGGAGTTATATCTAAGCGATGTGTGCAACCCTAGTTAAAAAAAATTAAATATTGTTTTAGATTTTAAAAAAAGAAAAGTGAAAGCAGAACACCAGGCTCCTCTACTGGACTGGAATTGCTTGCCCCAATTTCACTGCACACTGTGCATTAGAGGCTGCAGAAGTCAGACAGAGCCCGTCTCATCAAGCCCTTTACACCTCAGCCTGACTGTTCTTGGCCTACCCCTTTCACATAGTGATAAATATCAAACAGAAGTACTAACACCTCAAATATATATAAAACAAAAGGTGCTGTAGAGAATAGATGAATGAAAACTGAAGATGTTGTTCAATGACTGTGCCTGGTCTGCCTCTAGGAGGGCAAAACTGTGTCAGTAACTGAGCTCAGGCGGAAGGTCAGCTTTCGGGGAGGACTTACACCCTTTAACTGGGCTAATATTTCTGCTGTGGCAAGGAGAGGGCACATCCCTGGGCCTGAAATCTTCTCTAGTACTGTCCACACTTCCACATTAACTTGAATGGAGAAGAACTCAAATATTAAAGTCGCTAACCTCATTCAAGTCTATGGGGAGTCATTGCACAAGCGCAACCAGTGATAAAGAATTTTTCAGTAAACAGCTTTCACTCTCATGAAGTGGTCAGCACCGGTGGGGTTCCAGGTTAGGGGCTAACAAGGAAGAGCTTTTTTTTATCCCCAAGTGCAGTTTTGCCTTAAGGGAGAATTATGAGGTGAGCGATTTACAATCATCCTCATAGTTAGAATCGACGTGTGGCATTGAAACTGTCACAAGTTGGCTCTATTGATCGGGAAGTGAGTGAACACATATCATCGCTCACTCGCTTCTCGATCACCTCCCTGCAGAGAGCAGTGACTGACAGCCACCGCTCCCTTCTCCGATCCTCCAGCGCTGACTGGAGAAATGGACGTGGGGAGGGGGCGGGCACAGCCTCTATACAGGCCGAACCCGCTGTCAATCAGCCATCTGGCTGATTGACAGCGGCTGCAGCCAGGGATCCGCCCTGGCTGCAGCGCTGTCATTATATAGCGAGCTGTGGCTCGCTATATACTGAGCTTTGGGTCACGGGAGGAGGTTAGTATATTTTATGCCCTCCCATGACCCTAAAGAGAACTATAGAATAAAAAGGTTACCCCATAGTTCTCTTTTAACCACTTCCTGCCAGCTGTGTGCACATATGTGGCAGCACAGCAGTGGGCTTTAATGATGAGCTGCCACACATGTGTAAAGCCGGCATCGCTGACTCTGACTATGCTGTCACCAACAGCTCCCGGTCACTGTTTACAATCGGGAGGCGGTAGGATGGCATCCCGATCACAAGATTGCAGTGATCCCATAACCAGGTAGCAGATGCAACAACTCCAGTGTTACAAACATTTAAAGGTCTGTCTTCCTCTGGCTGAAAGGGTTAAGGGCTTGTTCACACCATGTCCGGACCAAATCTGGAGCAGATTTGCAATAGCTTAAAATGGGCTTTCAGGTGCAGTCCAGTGCGTTTGCATGCGTTTTTGATGCATTCCAGACCAGAGAAAATGAGACGAGCTGTATTTGTGAACAGAACCCAGGAATACCATAGGGATACATTGGTATGCTTTTTTTTGGTCCAAGAGCAAACTGTTTTGGTGTGAACAAGCCCTAAAGAGCACCTCAAGGATGAAATATAATACATTGCAGCTTGCAAGTCCTTAGGTATGGATGCTGCAATCGTTTTCTCTTTTCCTTAAATTTTAAACCTGGTGATCCTGCCTGTAATACACTTCCTGTCTTAGGGTGACATTTCTTACTCACTGTACTGTTTCTGTGGAGGAGTAGCATTGTCACCCTGGAACAGGACTACAGAACACCGCTCCCTTTCTTCAATAACATGAAACAACACAATATAAATTTGCAATCCTGTGGGTGGAAAGATCACTTACCTCCCATTTGAATCCTGAATCCCGCACAGAAGTCTTCCCTGGAGGAATCCATGGCACCCTCGTCTTCACTTTCACACTCCGCCGAAGATTTCCAGAATCACTTTTCGCTTTGCTTTTTGGCCCTTTCTGATCAGGGACATGAACCAAATCATTTGTTAAGTTAGATTCAGATGCATTTCTAGAATGTAAGTACTGAAGTCCAACACTTATTATTAGAGGTGCACCAAAAAGGAAATTTTAAAACCGAAATTAAAAAAAATGTCAGGCCGAAACCGAAAATGTTTTTTATTTTTTCAATTTTTTAAAATATTTTATTTTTTATAAACTTTTTCATTTTTTTATATTTATTGCCCCCACACCGCTCTACCGGACTGTGAGAGGGGGCTGAGCGGTGTGGGAGGAGAGACGCCGGCCGCTCACAGCGCTCTCGTCCTGCAGCGCTCGGCCGCCTGTCACTTTCTCAGAAACCAGGGATGCGCCAATGTATCGGCCGCATTATGCCAAAAGTGCCATTTTCGGCCGATATGTTTCGGCGCCGATATATCGGTGCATCCCTACTTATTATTATTTTATTAATATTATTCCAGAGTGAAAAGGTTTACAAAAGAGGTGTTTGGCTGAGCTATGGGATGATAGCTTTCAATGCACCAGGAGAAGAATCATTTACCTGCACCCAAAGGTACCCGGACTGAGCAGGCTGCGGGACATAGAAAACGTGGGGAGAAGCTAGGTAATAGTGGCTCAGTGTGGGGGAAGGGGAGGCACGGGGGTGGTTTCAGTTAGAAGTAGAATCTGGGGACCCGAGTTACCTGCTGGCTACTCCTACATAAGAGCTCCAAAGTTCCTGGCTCTGTTGGGGCAATTGTGATCGGGCAAAGCTTCTCCACTACCTCAAAGTGCTGAAGCATGTTAGACCCCTCCCATATATTTCTATTGGCCAATGTAGCAGCCCGTCGTAGCGATGGGCCAATAGGAATGTGTGTTGTGGTGGTACCTACCTGGAAGAGTCAGAGCTTTGCCTGGTCAGGACAGGCTGCCATTGGGAAGCAGAAAAGAACTAAAAGCTCCTACATGTATGTAGGTGCCTCTGGGTGCCTGCACTTCATACCACTCAACGGCTTTCAGTATTCAATATCACCCTAAACGTCCACTCCGCTCATCCCAAAACCTCCTGCTTTCCAGCTCCCTTGTCAACTCCTCCCATACTCGCCTCCGGGACTTCTCTAGAGTCTTTCCCATCCTCAGGAACTCTTTACCCCAACCTGTCCGTCTATCTCCAACCTTGACTGCCTTTAGGCGATCCCTTAAGACTACTCTCTAAATGGAAGCCTATCCCACCTCAACCTAACCGCTGAACCATCACATTCTAAAATAATTCATCCCCACACAGCTACCTCCTCATGTATCACTGGCCCCTCCCTCTTAGATTGTAAGCCCTCAGGGGCAGGGCCCTCCTTACCATCTTGTCTTGAATTGTATTGTGATTGTAATGTCTTCCTTATATTGTAAAGCGCTGCGCAAACTGTTGGTGCTATATAAATCCTGTATAATAATAATAATTCTTAGTGACAGAGTCTCTTTAAGGTAAACCACTTCAAATAAGTTCCCACCTGTACTTTGGAAGCAGTCTTTGTTCCCTTCTTAATATGAACATGTACGGGAGTACTCTCATCCACGTGGACATGCAGCGGGGGAGACGGAGATCGGTTCTTCATGCTTTTCTAATGGAAAAGAAACAAACATGTAATTGAATGATGTACTGTGCAGACTTCAAATCACCCAAAAACCAGGGGGCAGGCAAACTCCGGTCCCTATAGCTGTGGTGAAACAACAAATCCCATCATGCATCAGCCTCTGTAGGTCATGCCTGTGGCGGTCAGTCTTGCAAAGTCTAATGGGATTTCTGGAGGGCTGGACTTTGCCTACCAATGGCCTTAAAGGAGAACTATGGGGTAAGTGCTTTTCCCCATAGTTCTCCTTAGGGTAACGGGAGGACACAAACTAGCGTCCTCCCGTTACCCAAAGCTCAGTATACCGCAAGCTACAGCTCACGGTATACTAAGACACTGCAGCCGGGACGGAACCCGACATTACTGCCTGGATCCACCCAGCTGCATGATTGACAGGCAGAGCCAGCTGTGTCCGCCCCCTCCCCCCGTCCGTTCCACAAGTCAGCGCTGGAGGATCGGACAGGGGAGGGGGGGGGTCCCTGCAGGGAGCCGTGAGTGACAGTCACGACTCTCTGCAGGGGCAGGATCGAAAATTGAGCGAGCGACGGTATGTGTTCGCTCACTTCCCGATCTATTGAGACGACCTGTGACAGTTTCATTGTCACACGTCGGCTCCAACTATGAGGATGAGTGATTTTCACTCCCCTCATAGTTCTCCTTTAACCACTACAACTTGCTGCATAAATGCATGAAATGAAGAACCAGCCCTTTAAGGCCTCATTCACACTGCCGCATGTATACGCGCGTACTGTACCCCGTGCAAATAAATGGCTCAATACACATAGCCGCGTATGGAGCCGTATATATGCGTGCAGTTCATTAACATTTCTATTAGGAATGATGCATTCTGGGACTGCAAATAGTGCACGCATATACGCAATATACAATTTTGCTCTGGCGTTGTGTGTGAATGAGGCCTTATACTCTTCATGTACAAACACAACATATGTAAATAAAAGGATCTGACTATGGCCTATGTTGCGGCAATTTTGGTTGCACATCAAGGTGTATGTGTTCTGTCCACAATGCCGTGCCTATAACACAGAATGACTGAGTAGATCCTAAAGAGAACCTGTGTTTTTCACATGCAAAGCAGAGCAACAAGTCCCCCCAACTTCTCCAGCAACACTCACCTTTCCTACTCTCCCCTGCAGCTCTGTGCAGCCGCCATGAGCAAGGAAAAGGAAGCCAACTAGAATGACTTGGAGCTTACGCAGGGCTAACTCTCACAGACCAGTTGTCCTTAAGACTGGATCTACGCCATAGGGCTGCAGAAACACGTTTTGCATGTCGGTGCGCTGTGGTGCCATTCATTCTCAATGGCACCCCAACACACCTTGCCACAGACGTGTCTTAATGCACTGCATTGCACAAAACAGTCTTAAGGACTGTTGCCGCCGGGACTCTGTTTAAACTTGTAAAGCCGACTGTTGGCTTTATAGTAGAAGCGATTCTGGCAATTCTGGCGCCAAATGAAAGTAGCCACTCGCACTCCGTGATATTAAAGTCAATGCTGTTTATTGACTGAGATAACACACATCTCCATATATATAATGTTAGTATAAACGTATAAAGTCAGTGCAGAAGTATACAATACCAGTATGGCAGTATATAACGTCAGTGTAGCTGTATAATGTATGGAAACATATAATGCCAGTATGGACGTATGTAATGTTAGTATAGAAGCATATGTCGGTATGGATGTATAATATGGATGCATACAATGCCAGTATGGAAGTAATATAATGCCAGTATAAATGTATAATGCCAGTAAACAATGTCGGTATGGAAGTGTATACCAGTATATAAAGTTAGTATAGGAGTATAATGCCAGTACGGATGTATAGAATGCCAGTACGGGTGTCTATAATGCCAGTACGGATGTATAGAATGCCAGTACGGGTGTCTATAATGCCAGTACGGGTGTCTATAATGCCAGTCCGGATGTATATAATGCCAGTACGGGTGTCTATAATGCCAGTACGGATGTATATAATGCCAGTACGGATGTATATAATGCCAGTACGGATGTATATAATGCCAGTACGGATGTATATAATGACAGTATGGATGTATATAATGCCAGTACGGATGTATATAATGCCAGTACGGATGTATATAATGTCAGTATGGGTGTCTATAATGCCAGTATGGGTGTATATAATGCCAGTACGGGTGTCTATAATGCCAGTATGGATGTATAGAATGCCAGTACGGATGTATATAATGCCAGCACGGGTGTCTATAATGCCAGCACGGATGTATATAATGCCAGTACGGGTGTCTATAATGCCAGCACGGATGTATATAATGCCAGTACGGGTGTCTATAATGCCAGCACGGATGTATATAATGCCAGTACGGGTGTCTATAATGCCAGCACGGGTGTCTATAAGGTCTGTATATAATGTTAGTATAAATGTACAATGTCGGTAAGTGTATCATACCAGTATATAAAGTCAGCATAGATGTATGTCAGTATATAAACACTCTCGTCGATCTGTACCTCAATATTTGGGATTGATCATCTATGATGTAAAGCCGGAGGTCTCGGGGAGTCAGGGTGCCGCTCTGATAGTAGTTGACACTAGACTCTGGTAACAAGCCGTGGAGGAAGCCCCAGGTGACTCCCAGCAAGCTGTTCCTATGGAGACGGAAGCTTCCTACAACTGTCTGCACATAGCACCAAGCCCGCTCCTGTTGTATTCAGCTGGATGTACAGTGCAGTGTGCATGGAGTCCAGGGGCCGGCTTGGGAAACGCTGATATGATCTCGGCTGCCGTCACCCTGGTCTAGTCACATGACGTGTCTGTACATCCTGGACCTCAAGGGGGTAAAATGTATGTATGCATGTATGTATGTATGTATGTATGCATGCATGCATGCATGCATGCATGTAGTAGTTTATACCGTATACAAACAGAGAACTTCTCAAACAAAAACCGGCAACACTGCTGTAGTCCGTGATAAAAAAAAATCCTTAAAAAGTCCGTCGGACAAGAAAAATATTAGTTTTCTTTGTGCAATCTGAGGGCTGCAGAATGCACGGCACAGAAGATGAGGCTTTAAAGCTGGAACTTAGCCTCTGTGCGGCAGCTTCCTGTAATAAAGACCACTCACTGATGCTCTCTCTCATTGAGCAGGGTGACTGGTCTGGTCTCCGCCCCCTCTTGTAATAAAGACCGGTCACTGCTCCTCTCTCTCATTATGCAGGGTGACTGGTCTGATCTCCGCCCCCTTCTGTAAAAAAGACCGGTCACTGCTGCTCTCTCTCATTATGCAGGGTGACTGGTCTGATATCCGCCCCTTTCTGTAATAAAGACCGGTCACTGCACCTCTCTCTAATTGTGCAGGGTGACTGGTCTGGTCTCTGCCCACTCCTGTAATAAAGACCAGTCACTGCTGCTATCTCTCTTTTTGCAGGGTGACTGGTCCCGTCTCCGCCCCCTCCTGTAATAAAGACCGGTCACTGCTCCTCTCTCTAATTGTGCAGGGTGACTGGTCTGATCTCCGCCCCCTTCTGTAATAAAGACCGGTCATTGCTGCTCTCTCTCTCATTGAGCAGGGTGACTGGTCTGGTCTCCGCCCCCTCCTGTAATAAAGACCGGTCACTGCTGCTCTCTCTCATTGAGCAAGGTGTCTGGTCTCCGCCCCCTCCTGTAATACAGACTGATCACTGCTGCTCTCTCTAATTGTGCAGGGTGACTGGTCTGGTCTCCGCCCCCCTCCTGTAATAAAAACTGGTCACTGCTGCTCTCTCTCATTGAGCAGGGTGTAGTTTTCTGCAGGCAGCCAGCAGTGGGTGGAGCCTGCTGGGCCCCTCCCACAGCTCTGCTCAGGCAATCTACAGCATGATGATGTAACTGCTACATTTAAAAGGTAATAGCTGGGTTAGCAAAGCCATCTGAGGCGGATTTATATACTTAATGGTTATTGAGCAATTTATTCTGATTTACGCTTTTGTGCCCAGCGTTCTGCTTTAAATATAAAGCATTCTTTCAGTCACAAAAATACACTTGAAGGCCATTCTTTTAGTAACACTCCCTACAGCAGGAAGTAGTCGTAGGGGCACTACAAGTACAAGCATGCCCTCCGTTCTGAAATAGCCACAACTAATGAACGGCAAGCAGCTGTGACTTACAGCTGGAGACAAAGTTAACGAGATAACATGCATTCAATGGCACACAAATTGCAGCAGCAATCCATTGTCAGCTACTATTGCTTTCTTCTTCTTACCGTAGGCGGCGCCATCTTATCCCCGAACCGCCCCCCCCCCGCCTCCGCACTCACTGTTGATACCCCACTGAACCGAACACCGTGCCTTCTTCCTGGACGCGCCCACATAGCCTTGCATTGGGAGATTTAAACAGCGTATCCCACAAGACGGCACGGTGATTGGTCAGAAAAGCGGCGCTGACTGTAATTGGCCACCGAGGGGGTCTCCTAGCAACGCACAGACTCGCGCTTGCAGAGCCGCGCTGGGACCAACTGCAGCCGAGCCACGTGATCGCTTTCGGGTTGATCATGTGGTATTGTACGGTCAGGTCACATGGCCCGTGATGTCATCTAGGTCCTTCTCCTGTATTGCGGTGCCCGGTAGGTCCTGCGGCGTGTTCGGTGGTTTCCTGCCGCCAAGATGTCCTCCCACCGGGACTGGGCTACCCTGGAGGCCCTGAAGAACTCTCCCAAGGGGAGGATTCAGTACAACCAGCAATGGACTCAAGAGGAGGAGGTAAGGGGCGCTTTCCCTCCATGACTAAGCGGACCTGTCATTTTCCAAAGTTAAGTTGGCAGGCTGCAGCTGCTTTGTGTGGAACTACAAGTGGCAGCATGCCATGGCCTAGTCCTCTAAGTGACTTTTAGCACTGGGACCTGTTGGCCCTAGGGAAGAATCTGCATATCTGTGGAATCCCTTCTTGTCAATGTTCAAGTATATGCATAGCCAATTATTATTATTTTGGATGGAGTTGGAAAGAGTTAATTCCCCACCAGGTTCATTTATTTATTTTTTCTGTACCCCGGCTAAGAAGATTTCCTTTCACTTCCTGCCTTGGAGACGCAACAGGAAGTAGGAGGAAATTTCCCGAGTGACAGAAATCCCAGTCGTAGCTCCCATTCACTCCTGAGCATAGTGACAACTCGCATGCGTTGCCGAATAGTGCTATATAAAAACCCACAGACAACAATAACGCTTGGCTGAGGGTCTGATCCACCCCAACTCTATCCAAAACTAAGGAACAAATGCCTTTTATTTACTAGAAGTCTATGGAAACCCCAATCACTAAAAATCTCATATAAGCCTTAACATGTTAAAAAAAACAACAACTTATTAACCCTTGCAGTGGTACTACCCCCACACTGAAAGGGTTAACTACTCGTCTGTGGCTAAGTGTTAAAAAAAGTTATACTCACCCAATCCTCAGAGCCGCCTTGTTCTTAGACCGGTCCTTCCAACGTCTCACCCCCTTCTGCTGCAGCAGTCTAAGGTCCAGCAAATCTTTATGTTCTATATAGACGTGAGGACGCTGAGGGATATGCCAATGCAGCAGCGTAGGAGGTGACAGGCTTCAGAGACCGGAGAAGCAGGGAGCCGGCTCGGCGGTTCTGGTGCGTATAAATTTTTATTGGCAGCTATACAAATTGGGCAGATAACGGTTCAGTGCGGGGGGTAGCCCCACCACAAGGGCTAATAAAAGATGTGCCTGATGTACTTCTTTAATGCAATTTCAAAGTCATTTTTTTATTTTAAATCTGCAGATTTTAGTACATGGGAATCTCAGATACCTAAACATTTCATTTAAATATATTATTCAATAGTCACAAACTATAGAAATTCAATTGGATCGCACCAAACGCCTTTGCAGACCCAGAAAAGTAGCAGTGACAGCATCATTGTGCACAATAATAACCTGAGCAGAGTAGTGGGAGGGGCCTAGCAGGTCACACCCACTACAGGCCGCCTGCAGAAAACTACAGGAGGAGTGGAGACAAGACCAGTCACCCTGCACAAGGAGAGATAGCAGCAGTGACCGGTCTTTATTACAGGAGGGGGAGGAAACCAGACCAGTCACCCTGCACAAGCAAAGAGAGCAGCTGTGAGCTGTCTTTTTTACAGGAGGGGGAGGAGACGAGACCAGTCACCCTGCACAAGGAGAGAGCAGCAGCAGTAGTGAGCTGTGTTTATTACAGAAGGGCGGGAGACAAGACCAGGCACCATACACAAGGGGAGAGCAGCAGTGAGTCGTGTTTATTACAGGAGGGGGTGGAGACAAGACCAGGCACCATACACAAGGGGAGAGCAGCAGTGAGTCGTGTTTATTACAGGAGGGGGTGGAGACAAGACCAGGCACCATACACAAGGGGAGAGCAGCAGTGAGCGGTGTTTATTACAGAAGGTTGGAGACAAGACCAGGCACCATACACAAGGGGAGAGCAGCAGTGAGTCGTGTTTATTACAGGAGGGGGTGGAGACAAGACCAGGCACCATACACAAGGGGAGAGCAGCAGTGAGCGGTGTTTATTACAGAAGGTTGGAGACAAGACCAGGCACCATACACAAGGGGAGAGCAGCAGTGAGCGGTGTTTATTACAGAAGGGTGGAGACAAGACCAGGCACCATACACAAGGAGAAAGCGGCAGTGAGCGGTGTTTATTACAGGAGGGGGTGGAGACAAGACCAGGCACCATACACAAGGGGAGAGCAGCAGTGACCAGTCTTTATTACAGGAAGCTCACACTAAAATATTGCGCAGATCTGGAAGAAACACACCAAGATCACTAAGATTCAGGGAAGAATATACATGATGCTCTTGAATGAGGACAATATTTGCTTTTCCTAGTTTTGCTTTAAAGGAGAAGTATGGGGTAAGCGTTTTTCCCCATAGTTCTCTTAAGGGTCACAGGAGGACATAAACTAGCATCCTCCCGTGACCCAAAGCTCAGTATATAGCGAGCCATAGCGAGCTATATACTGAGACCCCTGCAGCCGGGACGGATCCCGACATTATCCAGATCCGCCCAGCTGCGTGATTGACAGGTGGCTCTGCCTATCTAGAGGCAGAGCCAGCTGTACCCGCCCCCTCCCCCGTCCGTTTCGCCAGTCAGCTCTGGAGGAGGGGGGGAATCCCTGCGGGGAGCCATGAGTGACAGTCACGGCTCTCTGCAGGGACATGATCGAGAAGTGAGCGAGCGACAGTATGTGAAAATCACTCGCCTCATAGTCCCCCTTAAATAATACCTGATAATCCTGCCACGAAGGTTCTTGTTCAGGCACTTCCAGCTTAAAGTTCTTCTTTGAGGAGGAATGGGCTACTTGCAGGCATACCTGCACTCAATCCATTGCTATGTATGCTCCAAGATGGCGGCTCTCATAGATTAGAGTTAGGGCGGCACTACACAGAGGGGCCTTGACTAGGCAGTGTGACTTCCACATGTGCCACTAAAATCTCCACAGTACATTACCTAACCATGCAATACAGCTTCAATAACCAGATTTCCCCAGTCATCTTCCAGGACAGCCATCGAGATATAGGCTCCGCCTACCTGCAACAGGAAACACACCAACCACATTAAATAAATAGACTCCTCCTTCCATCCCAAGTCAGTTTTTTTGTGTTTCCGCCGGCTACACAGGGACATCGTAATGTTTGTTGTTTTCAGGGCTCATGTTTGTTTGCCTTAGGGCTGAGCCTACCCTGCTATGCGTCGGGACCCACTCCAGGATTACCTGCTTCAGATCTGCAGAGCAGCCACGTGGTCCAGCTTCCAGACATTCGTCAGGCACTACAGGCTGGACCTTATGACTCAACAAGACCAGGCATTTGGCAGGAAAGTCCTGCAAGCTGTGGTCCCACCCTAGGAGGTAAGATTTGTCCTCACTGATCCTCTCGATGGCTGTCCTGGAAGATGACTGGGGAAAACATGAGTTGATTACCTGATAACTCTGTTTCCAGGAATCTTCCAGGACAGCCAGTTCCCGCCCTTGGTGTGTATCCAGGTGGCATCCGAGGTTGGATGAAGGAGGGGATACTTTTGTGCATGGGGTAGCCTTCGGTCCTAGAGGTTACTGACTTGGGATGGAAGGAGGAGTCTATTTATTTAATGTGGTTGGTGTGTTTCCTGTTGCAGGTAGGCGGAGCCTATATCTCGATGGCTGTCCTGGAAGATTCCTGGAAACAGAGTTATCAGGTAATCAACTCATGTTTTTGTGGTCATTGTTCCCTAGGATATGCTCAGCGAGTCCTTTTGCATGCTGTCGCCATACGCCGGCTGGGTGTTAGAGAACATCCTCCCTAATAAAGCAGCAATTACCAGCCCTGAATGTAGGGAACTTTTACAAGAGTCTGCTGGCCTCTCCTCACTCTCCATACCAGGATTTCCAGAACTCCTATCAGTCTCACCAGTGGAGACTGACAAAGAGCAGGTGAGCCAAGTCATTGCTTTTATCTCACTGCACACAGGGTGGACCTGCGCGTGTGTAACTTGTTATCGTTGGACAATCTCTTCTAGGAAACGCAGATCATCATCGAATCCAGCAAGGACGTAGAACCTTTCATACGGTTGCCATCTTCTAAAATGTTGGCTGTGGAAAGCAAGATTCGCTTGTTCGAGGAGGCCCAGAAGATGAATTCTAGGGTAGGTGTCTGTGTTTTATCTGTGAGGGTAATCTCTTAGATTCATAATTAGGGTTGCACAGATACCAAGTACAGTACTCAGTACATGTACCGATACTTTTGAGCTCCAAGACTGGACTAGAGAAAAATTCAAAAAGTTAGGAGGCCGCTGTCATTTGTAAGGAGCACACGGAGCTCCCGGGATTTGTACATCTCTGTTTTAATGTATGATTTTGTTTTTATAAATAAAGGGATGCACCAATACCAGTTTTGCGAGTACGAGTACTGGTACTCGCCGAGTACTTACAAGTACGAATACTGATACATTTTTGTTTATTGTCATGTGACAGTTTTTCTACAATACAGACTAATGATTTCAGGACAGTGGTGGAGCGCCAGAGCCAGGTCCCAGCTGTAACCCTGGTAGTTCTCATGAAAATGCCAAGTATCTGCACTGGTACTCGAGAAGTATCTGTGCATCCCTAATCATAATCCTAAATCACAACACTTGTCTAGGTCAATGGAGCTTGATACAACTGCTCGTTTTTTCCAAACGTTTATTGAGGGACCTAGCAGACCTTTGGGGTACAAGGATGGACATAAGACAAAAAACAGAGGAATTGTTCCTCCTATTTGTGCTTTCTCTCCACACAGAAAGAGAGAACCTACCGTGTTTTGGGAAGTGTTTTTTTTTTTTTTTTTTTTCCTCATAGTTCTCTTAAGGGTCACGGGAGGACGTATACTAGCGTCCTCCTGTCACCCACAGCTCAGTATATCGCGAGCTACAGCTTGCAGTATACTGAGGCAGCCGGGACGGATCCCGACATTACTATCAAGATCCAACCAGCTGCGTGATTGACAGCTGGCTCTGCCTATCTAGAGGCAGAGCTAGCTGTACCCGCCCCATCCGTTCCTCCAGTCAGCGCTGGAGGAGCGGGAGGGAGGGAATCCCTGCAGGGAGCCGTGACCGACAGCCACAGCTCTCTGCAGGGAGATGAGCGAGCGACGGTATGTGTTCGATCACTTCCCGATCTACTGAGCCGACGTGTGACCGTTTCATTGTCACACGTCGGCTCGATCTATGAGGCTGAGTGATTTTTCACTCACCTCATAGTTCTCCTTTTAATGACATCTAACGCAGGGCTGGATGTATTCTAGGAGACAGGTAGCCAAAGCTCCTTGAACATATGAGGTTTTCTCTCGCTGTCAATGGAGCTTGCTCCAAAAAAAAAGCCTGCTAGCTTCTGGATTGGACAAAATGGCTCTGGAATTCAATAGTCCGCGATCTAATGTCTAAGAAAAAGCACTGGAGATGCATGTTTGATGCTTTCCTCAAGAAAGCCACAAATATGCGGCTGCCATTGCTGGCTTCTTTCTGAACATGCTTGTTATGACGCTTATGAAGTCTTTATTGCTTGGCTGTTTAAAGCTGACCATTCACCTATAGATTATCTGCAGACTTTCTATGGTCAGATGGAAAAAGTGCAACAGATTCCTCCATCTACGCTAAGCTGTGTGGATGGAGGAATCTCCCGCTGGGCTAAGCTTCGGTATCTTGCTAGTCGGGCCCGCTGGCTGTCAAAATACCTGAACAATCTGATTGGATGCAGGCATAGTTCAGGTATTTTGAGAGCCAGCGGGACCGACTAGCAAGATACTGTAGCTTGGCCCACTGGGAGATTCCTTCATCCACATAGTTGTGCGTAGATGGAGGAATCTGTTGCACTTTTTCCATCTGACCATAGAAAATCTGCAGATAATCTATAGGTGAGTGGCTGGCTTTACATTTCAGAAGGGGGGTCATGCTTGGCTTTTTAACATTCCAGAACGGGGGGGGTGGGGGTCATACAAGTACAGACTTCAGCTTGCACACTGTCTCCAGAATGATGCTTTTGGTTTGTTTGTTCTTTTGATGGCTGGTCTTTGTTGGCCTGTAGGGTTGAAACCCTTCCCTGCCCTTTCCAAAACGAATGTGGCTAGAGATGCACATTTATTGTCCTTGTATTTTAGGTTTGGAGTCTGTTAATGGCAAACGCACCCTCGTAATTTGTCTTTTTCAGGAAGAACTGAACGCACGCCTGGATTATGCTAATCGCTACAACAGGTCGTTGGCAGAAAAGGCTGCAGAACAGTTCAAACGCTTTGAAGAGATGTTGGAATTAAAGCAGAGACGGGAGAAACAAGAACTGGAGGAACAGCTGGAGAAGGAGTGAGAAAACAGAACAGTAATCCAGTTCTTTTTGCAGGGATGTCCAAACTGCGGCCCTCCGGCTGTGGTGGAACTACGAATCCCACGAGGCTTTGCAAGATTCTCACAGCCACAGACGTGACTCCCGGAGGGAGATGCTTCATGTGATTTGTAGTTTCACCACAGCTGGACGGCCGCAGTTTGGACATCCCTGTTGTAATGCTTTTGCAATGGCTTGTTTGCTTCATGTTATTGGTCTTCTCTTTCAGCTCAAAGGAGGCCTTAGAGCGACAAGAGAAATTAAAGGAGGAACACCGCCACAGGGCAAAGGTCAGGTGATATTTAAGATTGCCACAAACCGTAATGCTTAAAGTACTATTTGTTTTGGCTGGGATTGGTGCTGTGACTGAGGGACACCTTCTTCCCTCATGTGAAGAATTGTAGGATGAGTATAGTAGTTGGCGCTGCTCCTTAACCAGGATTATCCTCTATGCATTGAGTGCCCTTGGGTCAAGACTTGAAGTAAAGGAGTGCCAGAAAGGATAAATCTATTAGGCTGCTAGGTGCCAATCATTGTCCTTTTTTATTGTATGTTCATTGCGAATCCATTGAGGGGTAACCTAACCCCTCTTCAGGGCGAGTGATTGACTTCACAATGTAAAGTGTGGTTGCTGCAGTAAAATACTCAGTGCCTGTCGGCTTTTCTGAAGTGTGCATGTGCTGGAATGTTAAACCTGCAATCCAGCGTGTGTCGCCTATATTAAACCATTGGATTATGCTTTGACATTTCATTAAAGTACAACTAAGGGCTCCTGATGGACAGTTTAAGTACCACATCAAGTTACTGTGATGCACAAGCCTCATAAAGTATATTAAAAAAAAAACTTCTTTACCTTCTCTGACAAAATTCTCCTTCACTTGCGTCTCATACTTCACATGCTCCCCCTCCCAGACACTGCATCTTACAATGGAAGGGTTTTTAGCAGCAGAGGCAGAGCGGTCAATCTAGAAAGCAATGGGGAGTACTAATGCTAATTGACGAGCTACAGGCTTGTAAATCGGCAGGGACAATACTGATAGCCACGCCCCCTCAAACATTGTTTTATCCCACTGCATTGCAAGCAGGCACACCCTGCATGAAAGTGGCAACTCTGCTCTGAATTCAGAAGCAGTGCAGTATTGTTGCCACCCAATCACAGGTGATAGACTTCACTGGCAAGCTCAACAAGTATTTGTGGGACTTTGCAGCACATATGTTTGTCTTTTTGGGAGGCTATAGTTCTACTTTAAATGGTGACTTCAATGACAGAAAAGCAGACAGTCCTTGTACATTTTGGTGCAGCAGCTACAGTTGAGAATGCAGAGTCAATTTCTTTCTTGTACATCCAAGCCCTGAAGAAGTGGGGTTCATACAATAAAAGACAATCTTTGCACCTAAACGCCTCATGGAGTCATCCTTTCTTACCTTTTAAATGTTCAAGTGTGTGCTTAAAGTGACTATATTAAATGGAACAAATGAAGGTAAAAAGGTTGGTACTATATGGCACTATACAATCTTAGAGTAAATATAGCTTCTCACAGCCTCCTCCCTAACATCGCATGGGTAGGTAGGCTTTTTAAACAAGGAAAATGCACTTCAAATGTAAGCAGCAATTTGCATAAGTTAAAACAAAAAAATAAATACAATGTGAAGTTTGGCTGCAAAAGTGGAAGTACACTTTAAGATCCCCCATATACAGCCTGGTCTTAGTATTCGAGCAGCTCCACTGGGGTCAGGTTGAAGACTAACACGGGTAGCTGCAGGAACCGCAAGGTCCCTGCTATTGCCTTAGAAATCTTATAGGACTGATTCAGATTTGGCATAGGGGATAGGTTTAGGTCTATGCTGTTGATACACTTGTTAAGTGGTAATTTCAGCCATTTACAGCAAAAGTGATCAAACAAAACCACCATTTTTAAAAAAAAAACTTTTATTGTGTTTAACACTTTTTTTTTATGTTTTGTACGTATGCAGCTTCTAACTTTGAAGTTGCGTGAAGCCGAACAACAGCGCCATCAAGAGTTAGAGCGCAGCCGTCAAGAAGAAGGTCGGGAGAGGATGCGTCGGTTGTGCGCACTGCAGCAGGAAGCTCTGCAACTCATGCAGAGGATTGAAATAGACCAGAAGCTCCAAGAGATGTTTCGTGTGGACTTGTCCTCCTATAGCAAGCGTGGGAACCAAATATGTGGAAATTTATCCAACGTTGTTCGCTCCAGCAGCGAGGTAATTTTTACATTGCTCAATGTCATGCTGTTTTCACTTCTGTACAGATTACGCTTGCTTCCCACTGAGTGGCTTTTGAAGCTGACACCTTTCATTCAAGGATTTCCATGATTGGGGAGATTGGAGGAACTTTCTCAAATCTGCTGGCTATGAAATCTTTCCTTGATTCATTTGAAGAACCTACAGCTTCAGCACACCATCTGGTATTGTAATTTTCCATAAATTACATTACAATGGGACTTGATGCACTAGGAGATATAAGAGATATAATGTGCCGAATCGAGACATTGCTGAAAGGTGAAAAAACAATGTACGGTAGGACTTAAGGTGATTTAGGGAGAAGCTGACACCTGGGGGTATTCAAGTTGTAAATTATACATAAGATAGACCAGGAAACCTTGTTAGCCTTCATTAACACTGGAATCGGCCGGCACGTACAGCTCCGTGCACGGCTGTATCAGGCAGCTCCCGGGAAGGACAGGTGCTGCGTGTGATTAGTACGCAGCCCCCGTCCTTCTCTATGGGACTACACGGCTGTGCGGGTGAGCGTACTCGTACACTGAGAGGATGGATCCTGTCTGCGCCGAGCCAGGAAACGCACACCCGTACGGACCTGCACTTGAGGTGAGCTTAGGGGGGCGTATGGCCGTGTAGTCCCATAGAGAAGGATGGGGGCTGCGTACTAATCACACGCAGCACCTGTCCTTCCCGGTAGATGCCCGATACGGCCGTGCACGCAGCACAGAGCTGTACGTACCGGCCGTTTCTCGTGTGAATGAGAACTAAGGTTTATATCTCTGTCTGTGATGGGGAGATGCACCCTTCCTGATCATTCTGGTAACACGAAACTGTAACTGGGCCGGGAGGGGAGTGTGTCAATCAATCGTGGCAGCGAAATTCCCCGCTGAAATGTAGCTGTGGGATGGGCAATATCTCAGTCGCAGCTGATTTGGCCGTGAGGGGGATGTGTCCTTTACATTTTTGCTCGGGATTGGGCACATTTTCTGGTGAACCCGGTTTGCACCAAGCCCCCGCATATCATTACTGGTGACCATTGTCGGGAAATTTCTAAATGTTCGTTGTCAGTTTTTATTTTTTGAGTCCAAGAACTGAGTGTGCACAGGGAGAGGTGGACTCTACAGCTAACCCTTTCTGGTTGACTCTGTGGAAGTTGTGTGCACAACATGGGGCATAGCAGCTGGGATTTACACTGCCTGTGTCTGACAGTAAGTGTGTGTTCTAAAAGGCTGGGTGGTTACACAATAAGTGTGCCCACTGCAGTGCCGTTCAGTGCAACATCAGAGGCCCGCAGAGGGGGAGAAAATGAAAGAGTAGCTCGGTTTTCCATCAAGCGCCAGACGCAGATGGAACAGAAAAGGTGTGGGAAGAGTTGTACTTTAACAGCACACTATACTGGAAATGTTTCTACTCTGTCATTTAGTGGTGTTGACATTTTTTGAACAAAATACTACAAGGGCTCAAGTGGGGGCCCAGACTACTTGTCCTGATACAAAAAACTATTTTAAACAAAACTGTATTTGAATAAGATCTTTATTGATGGACAAACCTGAAAATACTTGAATGCAATCAACAAACACAAGTAGATGGTGAGCTTAAAAGAGAACTATGGGGCAAGCGTTTTTCCCCATAGTTCTCCTAAGGGTCACAGGAGGACATAAACCAGCATCCTCCCGTCACCCAAAGCTCAATATTAAGCGAGCTACAGCTTGCGATCTACTGAGGTAGCCGGGACGGATCCCGACATTACTGTCGAGATCCACCCAGCTGCGTGAGTGACGGCTGGCTCTGCCTATCTAGAGGCAGAGCCAGCTCTACCCGCCCCCATCAGTTCCGCCAGTCAGTGCTGGAGGATCAGGGGAATCCCTGCAGGGAGCCGTGAGTGACAGTAGGGAGATGATCGAGAAGTGAGCGAGCGACGGTATGTGTTAGCTCACTTCCCAATCTACTGAGCCGACGTGTGACAGTCTCATTGTCACACGTCGGCTCGAACTATGAGGATGAATTACTCACCTCCATAATTCTCCTTTTTTAAACCGCACATAATCATTATATGACAGTCCTGGTGTCCTGTGTGTGAGGTCACTAGAAATGTCAGCTGTCTCTGTCCATTATATGATGGTCCTTTTGTGTAAGGGCACTACAGGTGTCAGCAGTCCTATTCCATTATACAATAGTCCTGTGTATGAGGGCAATGCAAGTGTCAGCAGTCCTTGTCCATTAAACTAGTCGGTCCCGAATACACACAGCTACAAACCGGGACTTAACGGAGTTGCCGATACCAGAGTCGGGAGGCAAGGAGGAAGGTGCGGGGTCCTTCAAGGGCGACCAGCTGAAAAGATTGTGTGCAGCCTGAGCGCCAGTATAGACTCCTACACAGTATAGACTCCTACACAGAGGGAGGAGGGCCTGAAGGGGTCAATGTCCAGGTCACACAGTGAGAGGATGGAGATGAAGGGTTTGATGTGCAGAATAAGGGAGGTGAAAGGGTTATTATACGGGTCCGGGTGCAGATAACATAAGCAGGAGGGGGGCTGAAAGGGTTACATTTATTTTCTGCTGCTGCACTTTTTCACCAGGAAGGAATGAATGGATGACTGGCCCATTCATTAGTTCCTGTACTCTCCCCTATCTCTGATGTAAGAGGAAGGGGAGGGCTTGGCAATGTAAACATTGCCATGTGATTGCTGTGATAACCAATCGCAGTGATCACAGGACACAGAGATGGGGCTCTCTGCAGGGTTAAGCTGGGGCTCTCCGCTGTCTAATGACGGTGGAGGGCACCGGCTTCAGTGACCACGGCTCGCCTGCAGCAGGGCTATATGTTTAAAAAAAACAAAAACCGCTTTCCTAGGCGTCGGGTGATACTATTCCAGCATTCCTGGTGGTGGTCAGGTGTCCACAAATCTTTTGCCATATAGTGTGTTATGACCTGTTCAGTAATGTTGAAATCCTCTGCCTTTAACGTTTTTTTTTCAAAATTTTCAATAATTTTTCCTAATTATAATAAAAAATAAAACCCGTAGTGGTGATTAAATACCACCAAAAGAAAGCTCTATCTGTCCCCAAAAAATGGTATAAAATTCATTTCAGTACAGCGTTGCATGACGGAATAAACGTCAGTCAAAGTATTGCAGCGCTGAATACTGAAAAATGGCTTGGCCAGGAAGGGGGTCTAAACACCTGGTCTTGAAGTGGTTAAGAAGTGGCCTTCTGTTTTAGAGTACCTTGCATCCACTTCCACGTATGTTGTATGAAGTCCTATTTCTTTCTGCACTGCAGGGCCAGTTCCCGTCTCAGGATGATGTCATTTTTGGTGAGCGCTCTGTGCAAGAGTTGAAGGTCCTGCTGAGGGACATGGGGAAGGAGGTGTCAGCAGCGCAGGAAAGATGCAGAGCCGAGGAAGAAGTTGCCAAACAAAAGCAGAAAGATGCTGAACAGCAGCAGCAACAAGCCAAGGCCCAGGCCTCTAGTCTAGCTCAGGAGAAGAAACAGGACAGGAAACAAGGTGACCAATAATGATTATTGTTGTTTATCTCTGTAACTGATTCAAATGGTTGACTTCATTTTTTAACAGGGATTTGACCAGTAGTCAAACTAGTAACTATTGCCCTGCCCTCTTTTGGGAGGAATACCAGTTCATACATGCCCTAATATTGGTTTTTGTTCTATGGGGTAAATGTAGCCACTGCTACAGCTCTGACTACTCTGTTTGTACAGTAGAAAAAGTTTGTAAACACAAGCTAATTTTACATTAGAGGCCCTGTCACTTTACAAATACTGAAAGCTGCTGACGGATGTGAAGTGCAGGTACCCAGATGTGCACATTTGCATCAGCTTCAGCATCCTATGGTTCATTTAAATGCTTGCCTCTTCTGATTGGGCAAAGCTTCAACACTTCTGGATTGTGTTGGAGCTTTCCACTAGGGATGCGCTGATGACTGACTGCTTTTCGGAATTGAGAATGTGCGTGTGTGTGTCTATAGATATCTATCTCTATAATATATATCTCGTGTGTGTAATATAATTGTATGTATGTATGTATGTATGTATGTATGTATGTATGTATTCATCTTGGCATACAGTATAAGTTCTACTTCTTACACTTTTTTTTTGATGTGTGCAATGTCACCTTCTCTTCTTAGGACTTCAGAGAACGGCTGATAATAGCATAATGGAACAGTACAAGGAGCTGTTGAGCAGATGTGATCAGTGTTTCAACGCCATCAGCGTTTTGACAACCAGCAAAGATAGTCGGGTACATTTTTTTTTTTTTTTTTTTTTTTTTTCTTCTCCATTTTTA